AAACCACTTTGAAGATACCACCATGTATTGCAGCAGCCATTGATATTTTCCTACTAATCTGTCCATAACTCTGTAATGTTTGTATTATTCCTATGCTATTTTGTAAATGGATGTATGTTTATTACTATGTGTTTCCTACAACCATTGAGAATAGTCAGTGAATATTCAACTCATGTATAGCTCTATTTATTTTCTTTAGAAACCACTTTGAAGATACCAAAGTATAGTACAACAATCATTGATAATAATCTACCACTTTTGTCTGTAACTCACTATTATTTGTCTATTTGTTTTCCTGAGAAACTATCTTGTAGATAACAATATGTAAAACAACCATTGATAATTTTCTACCACTTTGTCTGTAATTTGGTAAGCCCCCCTATTACTATGTTATCCTTCTTTTACTCTTTAAAATAATAATAATAATAAAACCAAAATTCATAAATGAGCATTAGAAGAAAGGGAGAAATAGGTGGTGAAAATGAGTGTGTGTGTGTGTGTGTGTGTGTGTGTGTGTGTGTGTTTATACTTGCAAAAAACTTCAGTGCTAAAGTGTAAGGGAAGTGGCTGCTAAGGTACATTTGAGAAGAAAGGAGACACGGGGGCAGTTTTGCCCAGCGATATACTGGATCCTGTCAGACATGACACTACCAGTCAGGTGCACCTGAGGTTGGGAATTTGGTCACGTCGTCCCCTGCCCCAGGTCACCATCATCACGGGTGACTTGACATCCACCAGAAAGGCAGAAGTTCACTTCAGAGCGTCATTTCCTCTTCACAGCATGTGGTTGAGTGCCACAGTTCAGCAAACATTGCAGGTGTTGTTTTGTCGTATTGTACCCCTACTGCCAGTGTGCAGAGCAGGAGGTGGGTGGGGACACCCGTGCCTGTTGCTTCTCAGGCCATTTTTAACTTTCCTACTGTGCTTTGTAGCTGCCTAGCCCAACAGTGCTTCTGCTTGTGTAGTCAAGGAAAAGTCTGCAGAACATTAGAAACATTTTAAATGCATTTTTTCTTATTATTACCCAGCAAGTCTGGCACATATTTAATTTGTGCATAAAATAGTTTGTTTCATGTTTAATTTCATTGTTTCACTTAGAATATTTAAAACCATTAATCATAGGTTGAATAACTTTAATAAAGTTTGTTTCTTAATTTTGTCATGGTAATAGCTGCTATTAGCTCAGTTAAATGTTGTTAGAGTTACGTAAAATGAATTCAGCATAATTATCCTGCACATTGTTTTACTCGATAAATTAGTTTGAGCTTTGTTTAATTTTTAGTTCCACAGTGCCACCTACTGGACTGATGCTATTAAAACACCCTCATGTTTTTCGTTTTCCAGGTTTGGTATTTAGCGGCTTTCTATAGTTCCAGCACTGTACTAAAACAAAAAATCTATACCTAGATTTATGTGTTGAGACTTTTCTTAACCATACAGGTGAAAGAACAAAAATACTCAGCCCACAAACTTTATAGAAACTAATGGGTCTTCCTACATTCTACTTCAGTTTTTTCTTTTTTTTTGAGCATCTGCTTTTGTTTTGGAAATACAATCTGTGAATAGTTTAACATTGCCTTTTGCAGCTAAAAATAGATTTTGATACTGATGCTTGGGAGAGCCTTCTTTCTACTCATTCCCCGTTCTCTTAATTGCATATGTGTGTGCACTTGTTAACTTGTTTGTATTCTACTGCGTGTTCAGGTCAGGATGGAAAACAGGGTACCCGCTTGCACATGTGAAGTTATCTGAGAGGATGAAAGCTGATCATATATTAAAAGCTGATAATGTTTAAATAAGAAAACTTAAAATGTTTTATTAGTAGTTCCTCTTTTTCTTTTTCCATTCCTTTCTTTCTTTTGCTATATCCTTAGCCCTATTTTTAAATTATATAATTTATTTGTTTATTTAGAGACTGGGTCTGACTAAGTCACAGAGTTTCCTAGGCTGAGCTTCAACTCTTGCCTCAGAGTGCTGGGATTACAGGACCGCCCCACCAGGCCCAGCGTGATGTACACCTCTTTAACATAAAACATTAATTGAAAGTTGTTTTGCTTTTTAATCATTGATGTCATTTTAATACTAAATGAATAACACTTTTGCTTGTGGTCCAAAATGGACTATGGTATTTATTATATATGGACACAAAGAGGTATATTTTATTCAGTTAAAGCATTTTAATAAAAATTAGTACCAGTATACTATTTGACACACCCCCCGTTGACCAGAAATATGAGATTCAAATGAGTCTCCTCCTTCGTCCTCCCCGGCTTCCTAGCACTTTCATGTTGTGTAAACTCATGCTGCACAGGGCCAGAGCTAAGGACAGCCAGATGAGGAGTTAGGAGCCAGACTCACCATCCTCTCACTTTTGCATTTATAAGAGAAAAAAGAAAAGAGAGTACACAGGGATCTCCTGGAGGAGACATATTTGGGGAATTTTATGGCACTTTTTGGAAGGTAACTTGATTTTTAAAGAAAGGCTGCATAGTGTTCACTAAGGTTGCTCTCAGAAGAAAAGTGAGCTCAGTCTGTTTACGAGTCCAGGCACACTACTGTAGGCGGGCAGACATCTGGAGAGAGTGAAGAAAAATCTCTGATCGTTCTCAGCAGGACCTGAGAGATGAAACAAGACAGTCTCATTTAGAAACCCTTGCCCCGGTGCCCCAAAATAAAATATAAACAGTTAAAAAGCTTTTAACATTCTTTGCTGTCACCTTGATTATCTGAAAACCTTACCTACCTATCATCTGCTTTCCAAAAGAGTAAAAATAGAAAAAAGTAGTATTTAATAGCCTAGATATAGTCATGACTTGACTCCAGTTTATTGCTAGACATTCACTTTCGAATCTACAAGTTGGAATCTGCCAGGGCTGGAAGGCTTAGGTGTTAGTTGCTGACAGTTTATAGTAATTTTTGGCTGGGCCTGGCTTTGGGCAAATCATGGCAGTAAAAATAAAGGCAATTCTCTTTTCATTACTTTGGGCTTGTCTGTCAAATAATTGCATCATGTTTTGTCTCTAAAGTCTCTCGTAGTATTGATTGTGGTCTTTGAACTCTCTGAAAATAAAAGGATGATAAAAGCAAATTTGGCTGGAGCAAATGTAAATTGCAGAATTTCTCCCTCTTTCAACTTCCGAAAGCTCCTGATCTCGGACTTTGGAAGCTGCAGATCAGAACAGTAACCACAGGCATAATTGGTGATTAGACGGTCCATCCAGAAACAGCTACCGGATCCGTACATTATTGTTGTCTTTCACTTCTTATTCTCATTCTTCACTTATTACCCTAAGAGTCTTCATCATCATCTTTGTTTTTTGTATCTGCATCTTTTTGCTTCTGTCTTGTCTCCTCACATCATTTCTTACTATCAGTTAAAGAGAACAAACATTTATCACTTTATGCCTTTGAAACCAAAGGTTTGTGTAAAAGAGAGCTGTGTATGTCAGTGTGTAAATTTGTGTGTGAATATATATTTGAACCAGATTCCTAGCATTTAAAAAAAATCTACTCTGCTTCTCAATTTAACCATTGGGTTGCACCAAAATCTCCTGAAAAGTAAATTCTTTTTCTTTAAGATCACTTTTACCATCTAACATTTTGCAGTAACAGGAACTCATACTTACTCTGTACCAATCCTCCTAGTAATGACACCGTCCTGAGCTGAGTGTTTTTGAAGGAGGACAGATTTTTCTGGATAGAAATTTTAACGGTTACCTTTTCCAAGCATTTTACCCGGCGAGTTGCTCTGTACTACACAACACACTTATTTGACCTTGACCCAGCCCTGCCAGGGTAGCCTCAGAGCTGTCCGTGCAGTGGATGTGCAGACCATAAACTAGGATTGTGAATGTATTTATTTTATCCTTTCTCGGATTCTTTTGTGTATTGTGCTAAATCTCTCCCCGCCTCCCCCGCCCACCTCTCCTGCTCTGAGACCTAGCTCATTTCTGAAGTCTCAGCAGTGGATCAGTTTTCACGTGGAACATCTGCACAAGGATGAACAGCATATCTCAGTTTTCCAAGGCTTTAGCAGAAAATGTCCTGATGACTGTTCCTGTCCCCGACCCCCGGCCGTCCCCTCCCCCTCCCTCCTGTTCTTGGGGCCCCCATTAAAGGGCAGACTATTTTATTTACATGTTTATCTTTAAGTATTTTTAAATTGACATGCCAAACCCTGCAATTCTCAAGCCTTTCAAGAAATGTTGTCTTTAAGAGATTTAAAATAAGATAGATCTTTGTAGTTTTATTTTGAAAAGTGGGAAGCATTAAGAAACTCGGGAATTTTCTTTTGGAATGCCTTTTCACTTTCAAACTGTAAGTGATGCATAATGCTCTGTGCATATGTTTATGAAGAAGTCACAATTCAATTACATATTTGTTTTGGTTTTAGCGAAGCGTGACTAGAGAGGGGAGAGTGCTCTGAAACAATTTGACATTTAATAAAACAGCAGACAAGACACAGTTGGCCTCCTGGCCTAATGAGTAGAGATTCTTCGATGTTTCTTCAGATAGTTGCATTTTTTAAGAAATATGTTGTATACTTTGAAAAACTACAAAAACAGCATATGACTGTAATACTAGAGCTTTTAAAAGCAGACCAGTTCCCTTCTTTATTCGTAGTCCATAAGCAAACTTAGAAAATGCATGAAATAAGGTATCCAGCACATTTTAGCAACAGCATAAGTTGGTATTATTATATTGTTTTCTTCTTTTTTCCTATTCAAATAGGTAAATATACATATGTACACATAGTATATGAGTACATATTTGTATGCTTATAAATAACTTATAATTTAAATTTACTTGTGTTTGACTATATGGACAGCATTGTATTACCTGGAATTCATATGTTATGGAGAGGGGCATCAACTGTCCTGGCAAATGCCAAGTGCTAACAGTTCCTTAACAAGTGCCATTAGAAGACTTTTCAAATTTGAACTATAAAATCTCAAAGTCCTATACTTACCTATTGATTTAATTCCACCTGTTTCTCACAGACTCCCCTTTACTTGGTAAATCATGGAGAGAATGGACCAGTCAGATGTAACAGGTGCAAGGCCTACATGTGCCCGTTCATGCAGTTCATCGAGGGAGGACGGAGGTACCAGTGTGGGTTTTGCAGCTGTGTGAATGATGGTAAGTGCACCACTAAATGCTGTGTGAAGCTCTTTACTTAAAAAGAAAATACGTTATGCTTTTTAGCTTAGGGGAGAGCAGATTTTGTTCCTGTATAGCAGTAACACTTTTACAATTTCTCCAGAAGAAACTAAATAGAACATACGCTGTTGGGAAGTCCAAGGCCTCTTGGCCTTATGTAGCTGCAGGAGCCCCACATAGGGACGGTGCTGTTTCTTCACTTGGAAGTAAACTGAAAGTGCAGGGCTAGGGCAAGAATTTGTTTTTCAATCCCCTTTCATCAAGGCCCAGCTAGAAGCAAAATAAGGTTTTACCTCTGGTATTTATAGACAATAAACTTTAGAGACTTTTTCTCTTTGGCCGTTCCTCAGTTATTGAGTGTATGCACATTGATATTTAGGAGAAGCTTTAACGTGGTACAGAGTTTTCGCTCTGATACAAAGGTTAAACTCCTTAAGGAGGCAGGAACATTATTATGAAGCACTTTCTTATATTCATTATAATTTCATTTTTTATTCTTTTGTGAATTCACATGTTGAAAATGCTGCAAACTTGCCAAGAGAGTTCTTACATTCCGTATTTCAGCTTTTCTCCGTTAGTTAATAAAGCAGTGTGCTCAGGCTGAGAGCCTAACCACATCCACTAACACTTGTGTTGTTAACCACGTGGTGATCATAAGGTGAGCTTTCTGTGGAAGTTCCTCTGTTCCTTGTGGTCCTAGACACGCTTCTCTGCAGGGGCTTCTCTCTGGAGAGCACATGCGCCCTGTCTGCCCATGCGCCATGCTCAGTTTGCTCTCTACATCAGTGTGTTCCTGGTGCCTGGGCTGTGTGCGCCTTCCTGGATGGGAGAGCATTGACGTCTCCTAGTCATCCTGCCTTTGGTGCACACAGCCCATGGCTTTCTCCACTGTTGAGAGCCAGAGACTGGCCTTGTGAGTCTTTCTCACAAAGACCTGTGTTCAGTTCTCGGACATGTCTTGCTGCGAAGTAGAAAGGAATGCTCGCCGGCCTCATGTCCAAGACCATGCCCTGGACATCTTAGGAAGCCTCTCTCCTCGTGCTAACTGTGGCATCTACTCAGTGCACGTTTCCGTCCCTGCTTCTCCTTTCTAAGGAAGATGTTATTCGATCTCTCGTCCTAGATGAAATCTGTCACCAAATCCTTGGTTATCATTCAATTTGGTTCTTGGACTTCAGGAGCACAGTGATAGTTCATCTCTTTGGGCTTTTAGATTTTTGGTTTTTTGTTGGATGTGGGGGCAGGGAAGGGGAGTTGTGAAACATTTGGATAAAGTTCCCCACCAAGTCCACCAGCTCCTCAGTGTCCTTACCCAATCTCTTAACTTTCCTAGTAAGGTGATCAGAAACTTACTCAGCATATGGTGCATCAAGGATCTTTAATTTGATGTCACACACACACATGTGCGTGCGCACATTCACACACACACCCGCCTCTTACACATAGTGAAGCTCAGGGCTTTGAAAGACCCAGCCATTTCCTGGTAAAGAAAATACCTGCAGCGTTTGGACATTGCCCAGTGGGAACCCTGAGAAACAGGTCAAATGGCAGTGCCTAGTTTATGACTTGCCTTGAATTTTGGCTTATAAAAGATGACAGATAATGTTAAATGTTAATGAAAAAATTAAGTTTCAATGAATATAAAATGTTAAAAATTTACACATTATATGCAGGCATGTGAGTGTGGATGAATTACCGGCCATGCTGTGTAGAACTTGCTGTACCATACATCCTAAGACAGCCAGCCCAGGATCCTCTTCTCATCTGAAAGGGACAGAACGGCAGTGTACAGGCCTCCGGGCTTTCTCACCTCAGTGCAGACTGTCCATTTCCGCTTCTGTAATCTTTTTAAGACATTGAACTTCCCAAATTCATATAAAACCATGACTCTTATAAAGCTTATTTTAACAGAAATGGCCAAAATACAATAAGAATGTAGAAAAGCCAAGCTTCTCTGCTTTTTACAAAATCCAGCCTTGAAAATCAGTCCTGTTGTAATTCGCATGTTAGTTTCACAATAAAAAATAATACTGAGTTGTTGATTTAAAAACAAAAGGCATTATAATTGCTTTTATGATTTTTACAAATGGAAATGTTGTTCTTTACAAAATGCTTGAACACAGAGCATTGCTAGTTTTTTAAAATACTTGTGTTGGCAAAAGTTTCATAGCCTGCCTGATTAATCTCCAGGCAACAGGAGCTCTTTTTCGCAGAGATACCAGGCCTTATTTGTCCAAGGGTTCACTGTATGACTCATAAGTGTTGCTGTGCTGTTGGGTGACTTCCAGGGCTTTGCCAGAACGAACCTTCTGAGACATTTGAAGCAAATTAGTGCTCTTCAGCTGAGATCTTAGCGCTCTACTTCTTCCTAATACAGTAATCCTCTGCACTTGTAAGCCCAAATGTTCCAAGATTACTATGTGACTCCCCAGAGCTGATGGCGTTCCTTCATTAACATGTAATAAATATTGTAGTTAATAATATAGTCCAAATAATCAATGTTTATCTCTATTAAGTATATTGAAAGTTCAGATAGAAAACTCAGAATTCTTTTTTTAAAAGGTGGTTAAGCAGGGACAATTAAACATTCAGGTTGTGATGACTTAAAAACACCAGTACTTTCACGTTGTTGCTTTAGGATGGTTCAAGTCATAGCTGTTCTTTGTCATCAGTAACTTGTACAAAGATCAAGAGAATTGTTAAGAAAATGCTCATACTTCCCAAAACTTGCATACTGAGAATGTAGTCTATCACAGTTTTAAAATGCTTTTTCTTTTATACATACTCTCTTCCTTCCGTAATAAATTTTGAGAATGTATTAAATTGTCCTTAGTTTGTGAAATCAAAAGATCTCCTTTCCTGTTTGTTTTTATTAGTTCCACCATTCTATTTCCAACATCTGGACCACATTGGAAGAAGACTGGACCACTATGAGAAGCCTGAGTTATCTCTAGGATCGTATGAGTTTGTTGCTACTTTGGATTACTGCAGAGTAAGTGTTCCCAGGATTTCAAGTGTTTATCCACTGATGTCAAATTCAAGTGAATAACTTTCATATGTAAAGAGCTGACCCTTGATTCATAAACACAGCCTCTCAGTGGTGCCAGGAGGATGTAAAAATGCCTGAGACACAGATGTAGCCTTCTGTGTTGCTAGCATGATTCAGTCGCCAAACGATTCACTGGAGTGATCATCTTAACAACAGAAATGTGGTACCAGAAATAAGAAACAGTAATTGTTTTGTCTTTTCCAGATAGAATATACTCTGTCCTTAATGGAGCAAATCTATAGAGGGCCTCTGCCTGACTTGTTTTGTCAATCATCTCAGAAAAATGTCCTTGCCAAGGTGGAAGCTTTACCAATATGGTCAATAGGACTAGAGATTCGTTCCCATACCACCCTGCTCCACTCCAGTTGTTACCACAGTGGCCTGGGATCTTGGCCTCTGGTTTTCTTGCTCTAAAATATAACCATAAGACTCTTCCCCACTCTCCTGAAAACCTCTTTTGCTTCCCTCGCCTCCCCTCGCCTCCCCTTCCCTCCCCTCGACTCCCCTTCCCTCCCCTTCCTTTCTCTTCCCTTGTCTTTTTTCTTTCCTAAGACACTATAAGATTAAACTTCCAGCTGGGTGCGGTGGGACTGCTCTGTAATCCCACTCTGGGAGACTGAGGCGAGGGATCGCAAGTTTGAGGCCAGTGACTGAGCAAGACTCTATCTCAAAATAAAGGAAAAAAATTTTTTTCAAAGGAGCTGAGGCTGTAGCTCAGTGCTGTAGCTTGCTAGCATGTATAAGGCCTTGGATTCACACTGTAAACTCATCAGCCCCTTTGACAACTCTATCACTTTATCTGCTTTAGACCAGGATATGTTTCTGTTCTTCTGTCACATCTGTATATACTGCATCTGACAAACTCCTACTTTTCCTCTAATGCCCAGCTAAAATTTTATTATCTGTGCACATGCAACTTTCTGTTTTCATCAAGGTAGTTATTTACTACCATTTCTGTTTCTTAATAGAATTTAGGCTGTGACTCTGTTTCATGAGTCTGTCCGTGGAATATAAATCTTCTTGCATGTTTGCCCTCTTTATAGATTCTGATACCCTTGGTGGCTCCAGTCTTGTTCTAGTCGTCTTTGTGACATTGTGTAGGTAGGCAGCTCACTGGGATATCTGGAATGAATGAATGAATCAATGAATGAGTGAATGAGTAAATTTGCAGGTGTATCACTATTCCCAGGACTGGCCTTTTCCTTTCTTCAATGATAATTACATCATATGGAAGCCTTTGGAGCTTTACAGTTGTTCGGTGATGTGAAAATCACATCTCTTTGGGCCTCAGTTCAGATTTCAGCTCATATCTGTAGCGTCATGTGTAGGTTTGAAGAAATGGGGTCATTCCAATGTATTTCCTTACATTCTCTTTCAAAAATGAATGCCTGCTAATACTTCATTCCCAGAAGACAGCCTCTATCCCACAGATTTCTTTCATAGATATTTTCTGGGGGATTATGTTGAGGACAGATAATAATATTTGTTCAACTAGAAGTTTCTTCAGGTGACTGTTAAATTTTTTTCAGTTAACATTTGTTTTAGTGTTTTATATGATTGTCTTGCAATATATTACATATAACTAGGTACTAAAGAAAGTGATTTATTGGTTTAAAATGTTTGAACCAGGGCTAGGAATGTAGCTCAGTGGCACAGCAACTACCTGGCAAGTGCAAGGCCCTGAGTTTGATTCCTGGTACCAAAAAAAAAAAAAAAGAATGTTGGAACATATTTGTGGATATATAAAATCATTTTTGATACAGATGCTTTATGTCAAGCAAAAATCATGTCCTGAAGTACAGTTACATTTTGAGAGTTTATTCTTTCCTGATGTTGACTGAAGGAGTAGCAGTAGGCAAAACATAAGCATTTGCGGGTCTAATTAAACACAGTAAAGCCATTGTAACTACTGGTGGAAACTTTATTCACTCATCTATGCAACCATAGTATAAATCTAATCAAGTTTTAAGCCAGTTCTCTGTCAAAAAGCCTACATTATCTTGATTTTATGCTTTTTTAGTAGAAACTTAGGCAGAAAGTCAAGTCTATTTCTGGGAACAAAAGTCTTAGAATTTTCAAACTCTGTTATCTGGAAATATTACAGAAATCTAACTGATGGGAAATCTAAAATTGTACATTTTGAAGATGATTGTTTTGTAAGTTTAATCTTCCTTTTATTTTTCCAAGTATACTTCATGATAAATTTGCTGTAGCCATATTTGAATTTAATTATAATATAAAATGTAAATGAAGTAGAATAATGAGTTGACTCAGAGACTTGGATGATGAAAAAGGTTATTTAATTTGCATGTTTATTTTTAACACCTTATACACCAAAAGGAGAATGGTAAAATACCATTTTCCCTCTATTTATTTTAGCTGGCCTATGCCACTTTTAGATACTCAAGCTAATATCCACTGAACACTCACTGTGCGTGAGGGTCTGTGCTGCAAGTGTTCTGGTGTGGGATCGCTTAGTTCTAGCAGTGAACCTGACGCAGTGAGAACCACCAGGAAGTAAGGAAAGGGATCTTAGCTGGAGAACCAACCTCAGGCCATCCGTGTAGAAAGTAATGAAGTCAGACTGAAACCATATCTGTGTGGCCACTGACACCTGTTTTTTGTTACCGCATTGTGGGTATGTAGGCAGGCTTTTTACAGAACCACCGAGGAGTTTCTCTGGAAAAGGGGGACCTCAGCTCATCACATAGCTAAGATTTTATTAGTTTTAAAATGTATGGAACATGTCTGCCTATAAAGTGCACCTGAAATGTAAAATCTCATTCCATGCTATCCTGTTGTTTTCTGAATGAATTTTAATTTTAATTCATTTTGACATTTAGTGGATGCTTAACATGTCTAAGGCAGTTGTCTGTGTGCTGTGAGGTTGCCAAAATTAGCAAGATGATAAATATGCTTGAAAGATACCTACCATGTATAGGCCTGATAAGAAATATATAATAATGATATAAACTAAAATGGTACAAATTATAAAAGTAGAATAGAATAATCAGAATGCTGTAAGAAAACAGGGTGGGGAAAGCATTGAGGAGAAAGTGACATTGAGCTGTCCAGGAACAGAAAACTAACATGGAAATGGAGGCAGAAATGGAACAGGGAGCAGAAGCAGTTTGACAACGGATTGACTATGTACCGTATTTCAGTTCTTCAGAGGCTGGGCAGCCTTTGTGGACTAGCATGGATCCAGTGTGGGGACAAGGAAATTGGAGAGTATATTCCTCTCTCTCCCAAAATGCATTCAAATTCAAGTATTTTTAAAAACACCATGCCAAATAAAATATTTTTCCAGCTAAATTCTTGGTTCAAATCCACTCAGCTGTGGCTTCTGCACAAGAAATGTTTTGAAAATGGCCAGCATTTAAATTGGGAGAATGTGTATTGAGAAGTAGTGAGCAGTAAATCCAGGAAACTGTTTTGAGACACAGTCTGTCTTATTTTCAGTGGGTCTAGCATCATATCTTTGATCTCTGAGGTTTTTGTATATGTTGTTAGATGACTGTTTTCAAGCATCTTGAGTGACAGGATATAGAAAAACCTATGGTAATTCAGTAGGCCATGAGGACAATTAAAAGTGAGGAGAGAGCAATTAATTCCCATTAATTCATCCATCTATCTGTCCATCTGTGCGTCCATGCATCCATCCATCCACACATGCATTCACTTAACAGTCATTAAGCACTCTTTTTGGTGCCATGCTCTGTGCTAGGATTTGGGAACTCAGTAAATTTCTTGGTCTCAAGGGAGGTAGCATTGTTTGTTTGGTTTTTTGTTTATTTTAAAAATAAAAGGAGGAAAACATTAACAGACAGACAACCTTCTACAAAATAGCAAAAGAACAGTACAGACAATACAGACTTACAAAGTGGTAGGAAATTAACAATGCTTGTTGTATTACATATTGGTATCTTCAAAGTGGTTTCTCATGAAAACAGATAGAGACATGCAATACTGATCAACCAAGGACTCATTGACAGTTTCTTTCAGCAAAGAAATAGAAGACAGTAGAACAGCCATGTTAACTACCCTGCATATACATACATACAAAATTTCTCCTTCTTTCCCTTCTCTTTTCCCACATCCCCGTTGCCCTTTACCCTTGAGTGCTTTCCTATCATTTCACAATCTATCCCTATGTCTATCATAGGGAGGTAGCATTGTGATACACTGTTTATCCTGACAACAGTCTGTAATGAGAAGAGAGAGATTGGAGACAAGGTTCAAAGTTGATGTGGTGGTCCAAGTGGGAGACAATGAGTCGTGCGACAATATCCCAAGAACCAATAAATAAAACTACTGTATGGTACAGAAATCCCACTTTGGGTTATATACTTAAAGTAATTGAAAACAGAGGCTCAAAAAGATATTTACACATACACAGTCATAGCCACGTTATTCACAAAATCCCGAATGTGGAAGCAAACAAGTGTCTATAAGTAGACAAATTACTAACCAAAATGTGGCATGCACGTAGAAGGGAATATTGAAAAGGAAGAAAAGTGACATAGGATACAAAGTAGATGAGTATTGAGGGTATCATGCAAAGTGAAATAAGTTGGTCACGAAAAGGATAAATATTATATGGTTCTATTTATATGAAATATTTGAAAAAGTCAAATTTATTCAGACAGAAAGTCAAATGGGGCTCAAAGGGCTAGAGAGGGGTGGAAGGGAAAGTTGTTTAATGGGTAAAGTTTGTGTTTTTCATGATGAGAGGAGTTTTGGAGATGGTGATGGTGGTGTAACCCTGTGATTGTGTTCAACATCACCAAACTACACTTCAAAATGGTTATGTGTTAACTTTTATGTGCTTATTTTACCACAATTTGAACAAATACAGCTAAAAATAATAAAAAAGGGAGAAAATATGGGTCTAGATTTGGATCCTGGGAGTAGACAGGCCATAAAGGCTTAGTGAGAGGGATAGTTCTGCGGAGGAAGTGAGATTCCAAGCCCAGATTCTGAGTTCCTGGTTTCTTGAGTTCCTTGCAAGTATAGTGGGTCATAACTTCTAAAAATTTGAATCTGAGGTGCTGGCAGGATCTTTCTGTGGAGCTGTGCTACAGTTAACTGGAATGCTGGTTTGAAGCTCAGAAGGAAGCTGCCAGGATGAGAGAGTTTGATGTGTCAACTGTCAGAGCGCTGGTTACAGTGGAATGTGCTTTCCATGATGGAGCGCGTGCTGAGAGGAGAGGGAGGGCTTGCACGCTAACCTTGGCTGGCAAAACAAGCTGGATTGAATGGGTGGCATAATAGTGTAAGGAAGTTAGTGGTGTAGTCCTTAGTTATCTAGGCACAAGATAATAAAATTCCAAATGTGTAAGAGTAGAGATAAGTTAAAACATTGTGGAAAACTCACTTTCAAAGATACATCAATAGAAATTAGTGATTGAAGGGAAGAGACCAGTTATATCTAATTTCAGGTTGTAAAGATTTTGAGTTGTGATGTAGTAATGTCATTGGTATTGATAGAGAAAGTGGAAGAGAATGTGATTTAGAGAAGTGATGAACTCATTTTTTCTATGTAGAAAACAAGTTGCAGGGCAGTGTTCCGCAGTCTGGGATAGGGGTGTTCAGTGGGAAGCTGACAGTGCTACCTCCGGAGAGAGTGCAGGGGTGAGAAGACACACTGGGTTTTGTCACAAAGAGGTTTTGATTCAATTAATGAAAGTGGTTATTTTCCCTAACATGAGATGGCTTCATCTATGTTATGAAATAGATTTCATAGGAATCAGAAATTATTTGCAATAAAAATTACACAGAGCCAATAGAGTTCCTTCTGTTCTTTGTCACTCTGATTTTGGATGTGGCAAAGTGATAAAGTTTTCAAATTAATGATTAAGTCTTATAACATTTTAAAATCTAAAATGAAGGACTTTGGGGCCAGACGTAGTGATGCACGCCTGTAATCCCAGCACTCCGGAAGCTGAGGCAGAAGGATCACCACAAGTTCAGGGCCAGTCGAGGCTCCATAAAGAGTTCAAAGTCACCCTGGACTACATAGTGAGACCCTGTTTCAAAAAAAAAGGAATCTTATTAGAACAATGTTATATCTTAGCTCATAGTAGCTATAGAATGAATTCATAAGATAATTTACAGATGTTGGCATCTAATTTTAAACTATTATATTTTAGAGTGTTTTTATGATTTATCATAAAGTTAAAAGTTCATTTGGCCTTCACTCTTTATTATTGGCTACTATTGCTGTTTGCTTGTGGCTTTCTTTTCCAGATATTTTGGAAGTCCTAACTGAAGGACCACTTCCTAAGAGCTGTTTGAACACCAGCCAGAAAAGGGACATGGGTTGCTAGAAACCATTTTCATAGCAGCTGCTTTATGTTATAGTAACTGTTTTAAACATGCACAGAAAAGGCCATCTTACCATAGAGATGAAATAAATTAAGCTAGGATTTAAGAATATGATACAAGATTTTAAAACATGCAGTTACTTAGCATGCCATTTCATATCTAAAACTGAAGATGATAAAAGAGATTTGAATATAGTGAGATCTAAATTAGTGAAGTTTTATAGCAGTTGCAAAATAAATGCTAGTTATTACATATACTCTGTGTTAGTCCAATTTTTGAGGGTTTTAAGCACGTTTTTGGCTTCTAAAATAGCATTATTAGCAAGGCTGGCCCCAATACTGAACTTCAGGAATTTGTAGTAACAGTCTTTGAAACTTTGCAGAAGCCAACCTTCTCTGTTAGATGTTTTAATGCTGTCTAACTCAGGTCATATCCTGGAAAATAAATGGCTTCCTTTATCTTTTTTATAGCATCAGAGTCCGTGTTCTAGAAAGTAATTTGATTCCACAGATGTTATACCTAAATATTGAATGAAACATCTGATAACTTTAGGAGTTGCTAGTGTGTTTTAATTTGATTATGAAATGTATTAACTTTATATCTATTTATGTGATGTGTTTGCTTTCCTACAGAAAAATAAGCCTCCCAGCCCACCAGCCTTTATCTTCATGATTGATGTTTCATATAGTAACATAAAGAATGGACTTGTCAAGCTCATATGTGAAGAATTGAAGACTGTACTGGAAAAACTGCCAAAGTAAGGGTTCAGCTACTCCTTTTATAACTCGTGCACTATTGCGGAATGAATAAGGGCCAGAAAACAAGTTGATTATCTTTCGCTGATGAGGACATTGGTCAATTAGTGATACATCCAGCAGCACCAGTTTTTTGTGAGTCCTTAGAACATCAGAGTGGTCTTTTAAATAAGGCAATAGAATCAAGCTGACAAAAACTGCTGCCAGGGTAAAAAGTGTCCAAAATGTGTTATAAGTTGTGAAGAGAATCCCAGCAATGTAGGGAAAGACTGTTCACTTTGGAAAATACTGATTTTCCAGTGGAATCTGGTAGTTTCTAGGCAAGGCAGAGAATTCTAAGGATTCAAAAAGAAATTGAACTGCCTTGGACATTTGGTTGAGATGGTAGCATTTCAGTCAAATTTCCTTTAGCTCTTCGTATACTGTCTAGTGCATTGGGCACGTCTGACTGTAAACAGCACCAGTGGCAGCTCTCTCCTTTTGTGAGGGGATGGTGCACACAGGAAAGGAGAAAAGGCTATTTGGAATGTTACCTGCATTAGCATAAAAAAGTAAGTCAAGCTAATAAACCCCAAATAAACCTTGGGAGAAAAAAAAATAACCAGATAGGTTTTGAAAGATAAAGGGAAAAGAGGTATTGAGACTGAAACAAAAACTTTTATGAGAGAGATTTTAGAAGTGGCACTGAATGACTACCTACATTCTTTTATTTTTCTCTCTTGTCTGCTCTTCTAAAACTAATATCAAATATGGCTCTTTTTAAATGATTGCATTATATAAACTAGCTGTTATGGCAGGCGCTTGCATCTTACAGAGATCAGACAGCAAGGGGAACCATACTGTCCTTGGAGCAGCCTGGCTGAAGAAGATAGAGGCTGGGAATGTTGTCTGAGGGGAGAATCTGTATCTGTTTCCACGTCTTCCTCCCCCTCACTCTCCCCTTGGACACACAAAGCAACATGTGTTCTGGAAAAGGCGTTTGGGGGCCTCGGAACCATCCTCGGCCGCCAGCCCCCCAGGAGTCTTGGATGCCCACTCCTTCGTACCCTTTTCCCCTTAGACTGTGATGTGGTCTGTGCAAGTCTTGGATGCCCCAGGAGTCTTGGATGCCCACTCCTTCGTACCCTTTTCCCCTTAGACTGTGATGTGGTCTGTGCAAGTCTCACACTCATGAACTCTGGACCTCCCAGGAGTAATTTTGTTTGTATCTGTGAAGCTGAAGTCATAATATTCTCTAGGGTGGTTTTGAAGAGCAGTGGGGATGTTTAAAAAATACTGAGGTGATTTCAAACTGAACTCCGAAATGAAGAATGAGCAAGCTGACAGTGGTATGAGGAAGGCCTCTGGCAGTGACAGACTTGTAACTGGTGTAGTCTCATCCGTTCTTAGGAGATGTGAGAAGATATATTTTATTATGGATGACAATTGTAATGGGGCTGTTTTAGTTCTAAAGCTGAAGTTTGAGCTTGTTTCATATGAAACAAAAACCTCCAGTTTCTGAAAACCGGCTGTCCCTCTTCCTGTTCTCAGACTGATTGGAATTGGCCTCACCCGTTGTCTAGAAATCATGCTTGCTTTTCGGTGCGGTGGTGATATAAAGCTTATCACCTATTGATATATGAGATGGAAATCACAGTCTTTCCTTTGGTGTCACCACGACTGTGTCTCAGTGGAGCAAGTGTGTGACGTGGGAGAAGACAGGAGACATAAGAAGAGCTGCTGATTCTCAGCCCTCATTGAGCTCGCTCTTTAAGTGTTCTTTTGTTTTTGTTTTTGTTTTTTGCCAAACCAACTGCCTTTCCCTCCTCTATCTTATAAGACAAATCTGGTTGTTTATTCTCCTCAGAAATTCATTTTGGGCTGCATATATATTACCTTTTTAATGGTAAGGTTTCCCCATCAATTTGATTTATTTCTTTGTGCTAAAGCAGGTAACATGCCAAATAGCCTTTTTAAAGCACAGCCTGAAGTCTTGATTAATGTTTTAGGGTATGTTCATCTCTGAGCTATTCTGTTGAAAAGAAAAAGCTCCATTCTTTACTATTTAACTTTGAATTTATATCTTTGGCCTGGCCAAGTTGCCAGACTTTTCTAACTAAGCTGGAACACTAAGGAAAAACTTTGAAATGGTTCACCTGTTATTCAGATCAAGTCTTTGGGTTATATTGAGTGTTTTCTGTTGTTTGTTTTTAATGCTGTAACTAGAGTGTCTGGAATGCATGAGCTTTAGATTCTTTGGTTCATCTGCTTGCTAACGTCTCCAGTGCTGCTCTGTCAGCTTCATGCTGTGAAATGATCGGGGCAAGTGTTGAGAAAGTGTGATTGGAAAGCAACAGCAAAAACGTGTTCGACGTCATGATGTCGCTGTTGTAACCTCACAACGCTTGTATAGAATTAATATGAAGGAGGAGCTAAGGATTCGTTTTCTTCTTGTTGGTACAACTTAATGAAGTACTTGTAGTATGGAAAAAATTAGGATAATTTTTCATTTCTCAAACAGTTTTTTTAAAAAACATGTTTCTATGGAGACAAGTAATAATAGTTTGCAATAATGTGAGATGTTCTGATTAGATGCTTTAATTTAGATTTCAAGTAAATCGTATGAGTCCCAGGATATTCCTTTCCCATCACTTTAATATGTCAAGTTCAATGGGAAAAAGCAATCCAGATTCCTCTTTTTTATTTTAAAGAGACAAAAAATAAAAACAAAACAGTTTCAAAACAGGTTAGTAGGAGACTTACAATAATTAATACATTGTGTATTGTCTTAGTTATTCAGAGTACAAGATACAGGTATGATTCTTTATAGCTTTTCTTTTGTATCTTTTGTTCTAACTGACTCAAAAATACTCAAAATTAGCTGTCTAAAGACAGTAAACGCTTTTCATGACTTTCTGAAATTGTGTGTGTGTGTGCATGTGTATGTGTGTATGTGTGTTGTACTGGAGACTGGAACCAGGATATTTGCACTGAGCTAGGTCCCCAGCCCGCCCCCCGCCCTTTCTTTTAAGTTTTTGAGACAAGGTCTCACTGTATCATTAAGTTGCTCAGGCTGGTCTCAAACTCTCCATTCTCTTGCTGCAGCAACACAGAGTGCTGGGATTATAGGCACCATGGCTAGTGAGGATATTTTTAGCTCACACAGTAAAAGCTTTACTTGGAAATGGAATCTTAACCATTATTATACTAGTAAATCATTTCTTCTCAAGTACACAGTCTTGATTTGTAGTATTTTCTTATTTCTTGGTATATGGCTCTGTCTGGCCTTGAACTCACTCTGTAGCCCAGGCTGGCCCAGAACTTTTAGTGATCTTCCTGCCTCAGCCTCTCAAGGGCTGAGATTCCAGGCATGCATGTGCCACCATGCCCAGCCTAAGGTGGCAGCACTAAGCAAGAGTTATGGACGGTTGAAAGTCTTGGCTTATTGTTCTGGGCTCCAGCTTGCTATCCCAAGTCTAATGCTTCACCAAGGATATTGAGATTAATTACCCTCAATAAAATCTCCAATTCGCTACATTGTACTAGTGTTACTGGCCACTTAGAAGGGCATTTATTTTGGAGAAAAGGAAAAAGGCTTTGTTCAAAACTAGCTCTGAGGAGATGGAGGGGCCTTGTATTACCAGAGATCGTCCTCTCCTGTGTCCAGGTGTGCATGGGCAGTTTACAGGGACAGAGGGGAAAGGGAATACAATTAGGTAGTGAACAGTTCCAGGCTTGCTTCATCCCTCCTGGTCCTCCAGTTCCCTCCCTCTCTGTGGAAGAAATAGGACCAGCAGACCTCCTGAGCCCAGCATCTGCGTAGTTTGCCCATTCAGACTCCCATTTTGCCAGGGTGTGGTGACTACAGGAGGCCCTATACTACTGACAGAGGCAGAGGACATAAACTTTGGGTTCTGCTCCTTACTAGCTTCTGAGAGGAGCAAGAGACATTTGGTAGAGGATGTATAGACCGTTAAATGAAGTTGCCACATGCTGAGAACTCAGTGAGAATGGTCATACTGCAAACTTTATAGAAATTAGAGGAAATGATTTCTGGTTGACAGCATAGGGGAAGGGTTTGTGCTTGGTCTTAAATGGTAAGATTTTAACCATAGGGAGAAGGGAAAATCCAGATGCAGTGTAGTATAGCACAGTCACTAGTATAGTATTGTATGGTATTGTATTGTATCATATCATATAGTATAGAAGAATGGTTAGTTGCATGAAATCATACAGTTTAAAATATTGGCGATCATATACATCTGTGTATAAATAGTTTCTCTCTCTCTCTCTCTCTCTCTCTCTCTCTCTTTCACACACACACACACACACACACACACACAAGGATTCCCACTTCTGAAAACATTCTAAATATCCAAAATGTAAATGTTCACCATGTACTTTTGGAAGGGATTTTGAGAATCTGTTTAAGCTGTCCATTCACCCATTTATCAAGGCCACAATGAAGAATACCCTTCATTTAGCAAAGGGAGTAGAGAAGAAATAAAGTAGTTAAAATCAGTGATTGCCAGCCTGTACTCCACTAAAATGTCAAAGAAACTAAAATTTACGATGGAATCAGATATTTGAACTTGAGATGCTTTCATCTAGATGTTCCGTTTTCCTTTTCTTAAACTCAAGGAACTGTCTATGCCATGTAGAAAATTTAGGAGCAAATCAGGTTTTTCTTCAGAAAAGTTGTTCCCTAAGCAGAATAACTTTTATTTACAAGTGAGGGTTAAAAAAAAAAGTTACACATCTTTTGAAGCTTTCTTTAAACCATTGAGCACTGTGTGACATCCACCATTAAAAATTCCAGCACTTGTAGAATCTCAGTGTTTGCTTTAGTGAGGGGGAGGGGTGCTGGGGAGAAAGTGAACAGTGCCCTCAGTACCATGGAGCTAGAGCCCAGACCACTAAATTCTGCATAGATTTACTGTAGACTGGCATGAGAACATTCATACAGCTATATTTTCAGGAACACTAAGGCTTTCTTTTAGAATTTCTAAAATAAAAAATCTACTCTTCGTTACAGTTTTAAAACTTCTGTTGCTTTGTTATGACCATCACAAATGGTCACTTAATAACAATTATATGTCAATTTATAAATGTAATTTACTTTATATATTATGTGGCATGTAATGTATATCCCAAAATCTAACTTCCTTCTCCTCCTCTTCCTCTTCCTCCACCACCTCCTCTTTTCTCCTTCTTCCTTCCTCCTCCTCTTCCTTCGCCACCTCCTTTCTTCTCCTTCTTCATCTTTGTCTTCTTCTCTTCCTCCTCCCCCTGCCTTCCTTCCTTCTTATTTGATTAGCCATCTATTAGGATGTCCTAAGATTTATATGTAGGGGTCCTATTTTGATTTAAAATAAGAAAGCTGTTCTAGAAGTGCTATGAATGTGCCTTACTCTTTCTCGTTTTTTGCTGCAGATACTCCATTTGTTTTCCTGACCTTCTGGTAACTTCTAAGGGTGCTTTGTTTATATGAAGAGTGTAAAAATGCATCTTGTTTATGGAAAGAAAAGACAAATCTTGTAACTTACTGTGGATTGAAAATAAATATATTAAAGAAACATGAGCAAATGTTTTTCATAATATCTATTTGATTTTTTTACCTAGAATTTTTTAGAATCTTTTTCTTTCTTTATCAGCTTGCTTATTTTTGTAGTAACTCTTCATCCCCTACTGAGAATGTTTAGTTCTGCTAACAGAAATTAAGTCCAGTATTTTAAACATGCTTTTCATATATTTTACAGAAGGCACATAATGAACTTCAGAAAGAAATTGTCCTCTCATTCTAAATTTATAAGTGGACCCAAACACATTGTTTTTCACATAGGGAGGAACAAGAAGAGACATCTGCAATCCGAGTTGGTTTTATCACATACAACAAAGTTCTCCATTTCTTCAACGTGAAGAGTAATCTGGCCCAGCCCCAGATGTTGGTGGTGACTGATGTTGGGGAGGTCTTCGTTCCATTGCTGGATGGATTCCTTGTCAACTACCAAGAATCTCAGTCTGTGATTCACAAGTAAATATGATATGCTTTATAATTAAATACAAATCAGTTGTCTGTTTTTAATTGCATTGTGGCTTGATTCAGTTGCACAATTTTGTCATTGGCAAAGGGATTTAAGACATGGCTTGTAAAGCTATCATTTATATGAGCTCTATCTCTTTTTAATATAGACTGGTATCTAAGAGGGAGAACTTATTTGTACTTGCCCCCAGCCCTATGAACTCTTTCTTTGCAGGAGGTATTTCCTGCATATGAATGAACATATTCAACAATGATTAATAAAAATACAACTGCTGTATGAAAATCAGCTACTGTATTAAGAATTTATGGTCTAAAAGAGATCAGTGGTAGTGAACAGAAAAATGCCTACAAAGTGTGATTTAGTAAATGTCAAATTTAAATTCTAGATTTTAGTACCAAGCTATGCTAAAAAATGCCTGTGAAATATACCCACAGGTGCTGGACACGAAACAAGTACCACATGTGTTTAAACTTGAACTGTCATTGATTTATTTTTTGAAGTTCATAACAAATATACTAAAGATTTAAAACCTTTTGCTCATTCCTTTCTTATAGTTTATTGGACCAGATTCCAGAGTTGTTTGCAGACTCTAACGAAAATGAGACTGTCTTTGTTCCCGTCATCCAGGCTGGCATGGAAGCATTAAAGGTGGGAAAAAACCATTTGTATGTGCTGGTGGATAAATTTTGAAAACAGAGAGATCGAAAAGAAAGGAGGAAGGAAAGAAGGAAGGCAGGCAGGAAGGCAGGAAGGCAGGCAGGCAGGCAGGCAGATGGGACAGACAGTATTTATGAAAGAATATTCTTTCCACTCAGGTGTGTGGTTGCTGGAGACCGTTCTGAACTTCCCAGGACTCTCAGAACTTCTCAAGAGAAAATGGCCCGAACCAGGGATTGCTCCCAGTGTTTACTTTTCAGGACTATTTGCATCTAAGCCATTGATTTTGTCAGGATTTCCAGTTTAGCTCCTCCCTTTGACTTTTACCTGAACTTTATCTGATCTATTTTAACTTTAGTTCAACAGTATCTAAACTCTAAGGTAAGAGGAAAACAATTCCCACACCGCCCTCCTCTTCCTTGGGGTTTTTACGCACGCAAGGGCAGGCCCTCGGACAGTGAGTGACAAAGACAGGAACGCTGCCGAGGGCCAGCGTGGTTGCCAGAAGTGGACGAGAGGTTGCTTGGCTGTGGGTCCAGCTGGAAGCCGAGCCCATGTGGTTCCGGTCATCTTCAGAGGAATAAAAGCAGTAAGCTGAAGAAGGCAAAATGATTTAGAAGCATTTACTCTAAATCATTATTACCTTACCACAAGAGTCAGCTCTCTTTTTCTCTGACAGCTAATTCTTAAAATTAGTTCTTAAATTTTATGATTGAAATTAAGTTCAAATTAACTTTTAAAATAAAAGGGCTACTAATAGTATCAGTAAAAGTGATAACAGACAGCAACAACAATAGTACAGAACTGAGTTTATGGACACCTTCCCACATAAATTTTGTATCTGATTTTGTAGTTTGGTTCTAGAATACATTGATTTTTGCTTAGTTTTTGTTTTTGTTTTTGTTTTTGTTTTTTGTTTTGTTTTGATCTGCAAAGTCATCACTTATAAGTCATGCACTGTTTTGGAATCGTACACCGTTTTAGACATCACAAAAGTCTCAGAGTGCATGTCAGCTCACCATTAAATTTATTATAACTTTGACATCTAAAAGTGACTTCAGATGTTAGAGCTCACCCACAGGAATCCAGTAGTGAAAAATTCGGGGGTACAGAAAGCTTTGGGGATTTTTCTTATATCCCATGTTGCTAAAAACAGGTCTTCTATTTCACTTTCAGTGTGTTTATTTGTTGCTGTGAATGTTGTTCTTCTCCCTTACAGTACATAGAAATCCATATGTAAGGCACACATGAATCCACAAGTCCTTCCGCTCCAAGGTAGGCCTGGGAATAACACTGCATTTGTGTGCTCCCATCTGAGAGGAAGGATGGCTGGTACATGCTGTCCCATCAGTTAAGAGGGGAAATGAATGGAAGGATTGGTCTTCAGTGGCCTTGATGGCAGAATCCCTGTTCAACCCCTTACTTCATCTCTGAAAGGGAGTAGTAAGTGGTGTCTTGTAATCATGATTTCCACGTGAGCAGTCCAGAAGAGGTCTAGAGGCTGCTTGGAAGCTTTGAAAGAAAAATATAAATCAAATGTGTGTACCTGCATTCCCTGTATCAAAAATTCAATCTGAATTATGATACATCCCTGAAAAGAGTGTTCTTCATAGCCACAGTGTTCTGCGGCTGCAATGGCTATGGCAGTTCATAGTCCCTGCTGTCAGTCAGTTTACCAGCCTCAAGTTCATTGCAGTGTATTTGCATCTCTTCTGTATTTTACTTTTTATTATATTTATAGTTTTATTGTTATACTAATATATATTTTACCTAGAAGTTTGAATATGAGGAGCAACTATTGTCTAACTATAGCAAGGCAGAAAACTTCATAAATACAAAGCTAATCAGTAGTAGTCTTCTTACACAGTAGAATGTTATAAAGTGACACTTGGGCATGATGTCAGTGGCGGTTACTCTTACGTCACTGCTAGCAGGATGATGCTGTTCTCCCAGTCTTCATACCGAGGCTCCCTGATGTCTCTCCTCAGCTAACTGGTCATAGAATCACATGAAGTAGAGGAGCTTTGTAAAAATGCAGCTTTCTGGTCAACTCGCAGAGATTCTGATCAGTAAGGCCCCAATTATTCTGATGTTTGTCTATGCCTGGAAACTCCCAGCATGAAAAATCATTCATTCTGTCATCTCTGAGCATTCGCTTAATGATGGAGAAGTGCTACCCCATGTGCTGCTTTTGCTCTAGGAATGCTTTGACTACTGTGATTTAACTTCTTGCCTTCAGTTTCTAGTTTATGGTTAAAATAATTAACTTTATGAGGAAAGTTTGCTTTCTTTTACAGAATGTTCTGTGAGGACGCTCTTGTGGTATTCAACTTTGTAATGAGTAGAAAGGGTCACTAGCTGATTTCTTAGTCACTTTTTATAACAGTTCTAGCTCATAATGCTCCTTTTAACCATAGCTGCCAAGAAAAACATTAAGACATTTAAGGTAAATTTATAAGGATTTTTCTTCCCTGACCTTAGCGACTTCTAGTTTTTGTTTTGTGTTTTACTTTTGCCTTCGTGATTCTATTGTATATGTTCTTCTAAAGTTTCCTCTAAATCCCTTTGTAAGTTGTTAATATGAATAATAAAGAAAAATTTCTGCTGTATCTAATCAGGAAAATTATGAGTGATTTGAATTCATTGCATAAGAACAGAAACTGCTGTAGGGTAGCTGGCACTTGTCCACAGTTCATGCTTTTTCCTCATGGTGACCCACGCGCGCATACACGTGTGTGCTTAGCCAGCTCTGGCAGAGTCATATTATTTCATTGTATTTTCAGGTTCTGTATAGTGGAAAATCAGGCTTAAATTCATGTCATGTATATAGGAGGGCACTAAAATTCTTGCCTGACGTCATTATTAGGCTATAAGCTAAGATGTTTGAGAATTTTCAGGGCAGTATCAAAATATTAAAAAGGCCCCTTTATTCATTCACTTGTCCTTTCAACAAATAAGAATATATCAAATGCCTATAATTTTTTGTTTATTCATTTTGTTTTTATCTTTTTGAGACAGACTCTCATTATGCAATTCAAGCTGGCCTTGAGCTCACTTTGTAGGCTAGGCTGGTCTCTAACTTGCAGTGATCCTCCTGCTTCAACCTCCTTAGTGCTGGGATTACAGGCATGCACCACTGTACCTGCAAATCCCTGTAATTTTTGTAAGGCAGTTCAGGGACTACGGTCTTGCTCATAAATTCCATCTAGTGTAGCAGACAAGAGGTAACTCTATAATACAAGACATAATGTTTGCTGCATGCATTTTAAAAAGGGGGTGGGGGCCAGGGGAAGTGGTACACACCTGTAACCCCAGCACCCGGGAGGCTGAAGCAGGAGGATCACTGCAAGTTCAAGGGCAGCCTGAACTACATAGTGAGTTTGCGGCCAGCCTGGACTATATAATGAGACCCTGTCTCTCAAAGTGGGGTGGGGAAGGCACAGAGTGGCTTTGGAACATGTGAGACTGTGGCTGGTCAGTCCAGCAGCTCAGGATATTCTTCGTGGGAGACCAGAGATGGGAGTCTCATCTTCTTTGGACAGGGAGCAGAAACTGAGGAAACATCAAAGTGAAGTTCTCATTGTGTGTCTAAGTGAAGGCTCTCAGAACTGGACTGCCCTGTTGGAGTTGCAGTGTTTCTTTCAATCAGATACATGCCAAGTAAAATCTACATATAATCAGCAATAATAAGCTTCTTACAGCAAAGAGTGGACATAAACTAACCAAAAACATGTGTTAATTTGTCACAGAGATAAACAGGCATCCTCTGGAATGCTGTTCTGCATACTTTCTCAGAAGTCCTTGAAATACCCAACTAAAGGATGCGTAGTTTCTCTGCTGTGAATCTTTCCCATTCTACAGCATCTTGTAATCTTAGCCTCTTTTTTTTTATATAGTCCTTCAAAATCTGCGGTTCTTTCAGAATCTGACCCTTGTAACTCAAACCATATGTGAACTGCTGACACTGTGTTTGAGTTTGGTCAAAGAATAATTTTCTGTGTTAGCTATGACCTTCACAATAAAACTAGATAAATAAGAATAAGAATTGGGTAAAAAAAAAAAATTGGAGGCAATTGGCCTTTAATGGTTATGCTTAAATTACATTACCACCTGGGGAGAACTGACCTATAAATTGTCCATAATCTGTACCTGAATTCGATTTCAAAGAGAAGCATCACGGCAGTCCTCCCACAAACACATGTGGAGTGCGTGGAGAGGGAGAGGAGAACTGATGGGGTTAGGGAGACACAGAACCAGTGTCCTTTCCTCTGCGGAGCCCTCGAGCCGTGAAGACAGGAATACACAAGGTTGTGGCAGTGTCATTAATTCTGGAATAGTGTTCAGAGCAGAGTGGAACATGGAGGAGGCGGCGGCATCTGTGCCAAGGGAGTCAGTGACGCCACCCTCAGAGGAAGGGCCATTGGAGCTATTTGCGTCCTTGTGTTCTCACGGCCAGTCCTTCTCCACCTGTTTTCTGCTATAAGATCGATTTTATATGTCATTCATCTAACTCGTAAGACCTGCTCCTGTGGGCACAGTTGGACGTGGGTCAAAACATAAATTTTGGAAAGATACAAACTATGGAATACTATGGAGCCTTATCTAATTTAAATTTGCTACTTATAAAAGATTATATAAGTATGTGATTAATGAAATTATGGATCTAAAATTAGCAGCAATTATGTAAGTAGAAAATAAATATGATTACTTTGGGATTTTTTTTTTTGCAGTATTGAACTTTGGGTCTCGAGTTTTTCTGTCAATTTTACTCTCTGGACCATTTAACAAGGCAGTCCGGTATGTTCAGTCATGATTAACATCATTTATTGAATCAAGTTCTCCCTACAGTATTTTATGTAGTTTTCTCCTGTATTGTATATTCAGTAACTGAAGCATAGAGAAGTATTTTGCAATGTTCCTCCACTGATAAAATGCTAGGATTCAATCCTGGCAGGTAGGAACTAGGTCCTGTGTTCTTAAAAACTCCCAATGTAAAATTACAGCACTTCCATGGTAAGAGAATATCTAGAGAGATAGAATTATTGATAGTGAATTGCTTAGGAGAATTGGGTCAGTAAAATGAGAAAAGTTGTGCTGTTTTTAACTTCATAACTTTCTGCTTTTGCAATATTTTAAACAGTGCTTTTATAATAATAAAAGTGATAGAAATTTAAAATTTGTCAGAGAATTGAAACATTTGACATGCTTAAGTTCCTACCTATGATTTTTCACTGTCACTTTCCTCCTCTTCCTCTCCTTTCTCCTCTTCTTTCATATTTGCAGTAGGTCTTGGGGTTGAATGCAGGGCCTTGTGCTTCCTAGGCAGTGACTTTACCACTGAGTTACATCCCCAGCCCTTTTTAACATTTTTAAATTTTAAGACAGGTTCTCACTAAGTGGCCCAGGCTAATCTTTTCAATCTTCCTGCCTCAGCCTTTTGAGTGGCTGCGACTGCAGTATGTGCCTACCTGCCCAGCAAACTCCTGTCCTATTAATGCTGTTTCTGTGCATAACTTTGAGTTGGGGACATATCCAACATAAAGATTCCAGCTCACAAATTCTTCCTTACTACTGGCCACATCAGACAGACAGACACATCCACTATGACCTCATTCCTGTGATCCATGCCACGAAACATATCAGGATGTGACTGATGAGAGACACATTACAACAAGGATAACCTCAGAGTCTCAGTTTTTCAAAGAAGCTATAAGTAGCCTGTAACTAAAAGTACATTGCACAGTTGACCTGGCAGAACCACGAGTGCCCCTCACTCAGCCCAGTTTTGCAGACAGCAGCCCTGGGTGGAGAAGAGTGAGAGATGTTCCAGGCTGGAGAGACAGTGTGTGAAGATACAGGCGTATAAGCATGCAGTGTATTCCAGGAAAGCGGGAAATTGTGTAGCTGAAACTTCCAGTATGAAAGGTGGCACAGGTGAGGAAAAGTTGGTTGTTGGACTGGAAAGATAATTTCCAGACTGAACTTCAGAGGGCTTTGCAGTATCATTTCAGGACATAGGACTGAAGGAGATGGGTGAGTTTGCCTCCTTAGAATGTGAGCGGTAGTACCAGCTGTACCAGGTGGAAGAGTTAAACTGGGAAACACTTACAAAGGGCCTGGCTCCGAGCTGCGTGCGTAGCTGTTTCCTACCCTGCCTGCTCCTGCCCAGATAGGGACTGCGGACTTCATCCCAGGCTACAAAGCCCTTAGGATTTCCGAAGAGAAAGGTGCATACCTGAGCAGAAATATGGAGATTGTTTTGGGGCTATGCGCTGGCAGCAGTGTGCATGGGGAGCCGTGGTTCTGCCAGCCCAGCAGGGGATGGTGCTGAGATAAGGAATTGTATTTAAATTTTGCTTGGTAGGTTGCTGGTGAGTTCCTTTCCTGTGATTTATATATTCTTAATGCTGAATTGACATTTGTGGAGGCTGAATCTTCTTTTTACAGCTTCTCAGAGACAAGAGATGTGCATTCTTGATCACACATTTTTCATTTTGTCACCAAGCCTGGTAGCTGGTTCCTGGTGTCTACTGTAGCCAAGACACTGCCACATTACTGTGCTTCTCCCTGGAAATAAACTAATTTAGTTTCAAATAAACTACTAAAGGCTTGAAATAAATGCTTCTGTTGCATCTTGGTCCTGTGGCTTCTGTAACCTATTTCTGCATTATGGAATCTGCCTGATCCTGAAGGACCCAGTGGTGGCGAACCTTTTAGAGCTTTCTGTGATGCGAACATCCCACTGCAGCACGTGTGCCCTAGGTTCGCCACACTGGACTATACCATAGACTAAACAAGAACATGTTCCCTCTACTGCATCATTTTAATAACTTCTTAAAGCATTGTGTTTTACAAACCCATATTTACATATTAACACTTGCACTTAAAAATTGTATAACCTTAGGCATCTCCTTGCTAAACCTCAGTTTCCTAACCTACAAAATGGAGAAAATAGTACCTGCCCAAGAACATGAAGGTTTTTGTGAAGGTTAAATTAGTGTTTGGCTCATAGAAAAGCTTACATATTTTAGTATATTAAGACCTTCCCACTGAAGCATTTTCTGTGATTTTGTTTTTTTATTTTAGGAAGCAGAATGTCCTGGGAAGCTGTACATCTTCCATTCCTCCTTGCCAACTGCTGAAGCACCAGGGAAGCTCAAGAACAGAGATGACAAAAAATTGGTTAATACAGACAAAGAGAAGGTACTTCATAAATAATTACTCTCTGAAGTGTCTGTATATCCACTACTAAGAGAAGATAAAGTCAGTGTGTCCTTCATTTAGGAAAGAGGGGGAGAAGCTGCATCTAATTGTGTGCATTGTATGCTACAGGAATATTTTAAGTTATAAGCAACTGGAGAAATCTTATATTCCTAGAAAAACTGATCCTGGAAACACCTAAAGTAAAACAGGAGCCCCATATTTTGGAATCTAGAGTCTGTGTGAAGATAGTGAGTGATGAGAATGTCAGCGAAGGTAGGAGGGGATACAGAGAGAAGAGAGCATAGAAGGAGCGCGTGGTCTGTGGTCCAGGCAGAGGTTTGAGGCATGAAGTAGGGATGCAAGGCTCACAAAGTGCCTCTGCTCAGACCTTGGACAGTGGGGTGCCGGGGGAGCCCATGTAAGGCTCGGACTGTGCATGGCTGCATGGCGCCACAGCGAGCGCCTCCTCTGGTTCTGTGAGCCAGCATGGCAGTGTCAGCTCCACTGTGGTCACTGAGGATCAAATAGAATTGAGTGCATATGAATATTTCTTTAGCCCAGTTCCCTTAACTGGGAAATATATATATTTTTCTATTTTAAAATTTCAGCGAGAACCCAGTTCAAAATTTCAATTTTCAACTGAAAATACTTTGTAACTTTTCATTTATCTTTCTTGCACCTTTCCCTTCAGATACTTTTCCAGCCCCAGACAAGTGTGTATGACTCCCTGGCCAAGGACTGTGTGACGCATGGCTGCTCCGTGACCATCTTTCTCTTCCCCAGCCAGTATGTGGATGTGGCATCTCTGGGGCTTGTCCCTCAGCTCACTGGAGGAACTCTTTACAAATACAACAATTTCCAGGTAAACAGCAGCCATTTGTTTCTCTCAGGTTTGCCCAGTTTTACTTTTGATGCTTAGATCATGGCTTAAGAAGGGTGTGCCTCTTGTGGGCACCAGGCAAATGCAGCTTCAAGAGCGCTGGAAAACCTTATATTGTGTGTGTGTTTACTCTGGCTAAGCGTATCATTCAGCCAGACAGGTAAATAGCAGTCTAAGCTGCCATACTATATAAAGTATGTTTAAAATAATGTTTGCAAAGGTAGCTACACATTTGTTTCAGGTTGTTGGAATTTGGGGTGTACAGTTCATTACACCCCTCTATTCCACATTTCAAGGAAGGGAGGTCTCCAAGAGCTGATTAGAATGTCAGTATTTCCAAAGTTCAGTCTGTAAGAAGTGGACTTCCTAATGTGTTGTCCCTGAACTTGACAGACACCTACAGCTTGGTACGGGGTGGGTCGGCTCATGATTCTCTTATGGACAGTACCTGAAAACTTACTGTCTTGAGGGGCAGACAGTGTGTACAGGCAGACCCACCACTTCCCACACTTACTAATCAGATGAGTCACTGCCTTGCACTGAGGACGAGGAGGAGGAGGAGGAGGAGGAGGAGGAGGAGGAGGAGATGATTTGAGCGGGCCTCTTAGGGTTGTGCCTCCCTGTGGAACGTGAGCCGGGAGGGGTGCGCACCCAGTATAAGTGACTAACGTTTAATCATTGTCTATTTTTATTTACCATGGATAAAATTATATCTCTCTGCATTACAAACTAATTAAAAAACAAGGCCAGAGATATCAAATGAAATGTATTCAAAACAGATTTAAAGTTCGGCTGGGGCTACAGCTCTATAGTAAAGAGTTTATTTAGCATGTGCAGTGCTGGGTTCAGTCTCCACCACTGTGAGCAACAAAAAATAAGTGATTGCCCAGGTGGGTGGTGTAAGCCTGTACTCCCAGCACTTGGGACACTGAAGCCAGAGTATCACAAGTCTGAGCCATTTTGAACTTCTAAAGAGCTACTTCAAGGTCTACCTGGATTAAATAGCAAGATCCTATTTCAAAATAACAACAACAAAAACACCCAAATGAACAACAAGCTTTAAAGGGGAGGGCAAGGAAAGATGGTAAGGATGGTGGAAGTGATTTAAAATACAACAGATATGTAGAAGGAAATGTCACAATGAAACCTATTAATTATGAGTTAATTTTTGTAATAAAACTTTAAGAACCATTTCGAAGACTTCCTAATAAACGTATGTCTTTTTAGGCATGCTAGAAAATAAGCTCTTAGTAATCATAAAATTGTTTTCCTCATTCTACCCAAATCCTGGATACTGAGGTGCAGAGAAGCCTTCCACGCTGACCAATGTTAGCTGCTTTCCCAGCCAGGAAAACCAATTTGCAAGTCTGAGTTACAAGGTAACCCTGTGTGGTTTCCAGTGTAATAAATGCATTGTACCTCGACATGGATGATTATCATTGATTCCTTAGTGTTCCTAAAGAGGAATTCTACTATAATCCAACAGAAGAAAACCCCTCAGATATAAACAAGAGTGAAATATTTCATAATCCAAGGGGATTAAGAGTGTTAACTTTTTTTTTATTTTAAGAAATAAAAGAAGGAAAACGTATTAACAGACAGACATCCATTTACAAAATAGCGTAAGAACAGTACAAACAAAACAGAGTTACAAATTTGGACCATGCTGCTAGTCATCTATTTGCAACTACTGCACGTTGTAAAACTGAATCATATGGTAGCATTTCTTTGCTTCAGAAGCAAAAACTGTAATAGTGTCTTGTCAGTAATATTATAAGGAAGAAGGGAAAAATGAAGGTGAAAAGTTTCGCAGGTGTTCAGTTGGATGTAAACAACTGGAGGTGATTACAAAGACTGTGTCTGTGGTTTCCCTGTTTCATTTCTTCCTTCTTTCCCATTATGTTGGGGGGCAGTAGGAAGGAATGTGTGTTTGTCTGCCTGTCTCCTAATTATCAAATGTAGTAGTGAGAATTTCTTAAAGAGCCTCCCGAGCTAGATATGGTGGCACATACTTGTATCCTAACAGTCTGGGAGGCTGAAGCAGGAAGATCCAAGTTCAAGCCCAGACTGGATAATTTAGCAAAACCCAGTCCTAAAAATAAAAAATAAAGTAAAAAGAGCTGGGGATATAGCTCAGTGTAAAAGACCTCGGTTCAGTCCCTGATAGCACCAGAAAGAAAAAGAGAGAGACCTCTTGACAAGATCTTACAAGCATTTTCAGAAGCTGCTGCTCAACAGTGGGTTCCCTCTTGCAGGTGAGCACTCAGAATAGCATTGCGTGTAGGGCGTATTGTATGAACCAAGTGAGCAGCTTCCAGAAATACAGTGATAGGGCTGGGGAAGCAGCTCAGAAGCACAGGGCCTGCCTGGCAAGCAGAAGGTCCGCAGTTCAATTCCCACTGCCAGAAAAAATCAGAAATACAGTATTAGCAGAGTAGCTAACAAAGCTGAAAGAAGGAGCCTTTACTACTGTGTGAATTGTCCTCTGGCTCGGTTTATGAATGCTGTCACATAAAAGGACCTGTGGTTTCAGGGTCTTTCCCCAGCTTTGTTAAATGAGTTATTTGGGTCTTAGTCTTGACTCTCGTACTAAGCCCCTGAGGGGATTATTTATACTCGGTTTTTATATTTGCAAAGTAAAATTAGTAACTGATTTCCTCAGTCAAAGGTTAGAAAAATGAAAGAAAATAAAAGATGTGTTTCACTTGGAAATTTAAGATCTCTGTCCAAAGATCTTATATTTCCCTTAACTGAAGAAACATAAATCATGCACAAAATTTTTTTAGATTAAAAATAACAATGATTTTTTTAGTCAGGTTTAAAAATAACTGTAATTTGAAGTATTTTGCTGCCATCTGGTGGGGACTGATCATACTTTATTTTTTAGATGCATTTGGATAGCCAACAATTTTTGAACGACCTCAGACATGACATTGAAAAGAAAATAGGCTTTGATGCTATTATGAGAGTTCGTACCAGCACAGGTAATTATCATTTATACCATTTTCAGGCATCCTTTTTGTACTTGTTCTCTCTTCAAATTAAATAACAGGACAAGAAAGAAAATAAGAGCAAAATAGGGAGATGCACAACTCCCGTTTCCCCTTTTCTGTAGGCTTTAGAGCCACTGATTTCTTCGGTGGAATTTTTATGAACAACACCACAGACGTGGAAATGGCTGCCATCGACTGTGACAAGGCCGTGACTGTGGAGTTCAAGCACGATGACAAGCTGAGCGAAGACAGTGGCGCCCTCCTCCAGGTGATTTCGTATTTACTGTCGTCTTTCGCTTTCTAGGTTCTCGCAGTGATCAGTGGCAAATCTAAAACAATACTCCCAAATGTCTCTACATAAAAAACCCAGCTCTTTCTCCACAGACAGAAGTCACTGTCGAGGGCGCTGCAGTGTGTGGCTTCTCTGTAGCTGAGGCAGATGTGCCACCCATGTGCTGTAATAATTATATTGCTGCATTTTATGTCATAAGCAAGTGGAATAGGATTTTGCTTTATATAAGTAAAATTAGCAAGAAGCCAAGTTTCAGTTAAATTAATAATACATGTGTCTAATGGTCATAGTTTTCAGACATCAGCATCTGTCTTCATCCCTTTCTCATTGCTGGGCTGCAATACCCGACCCACAACTTAAAAGAGGAGAGATTTATTTTGGCTTAGCAATTTTAGAAGCCTCCATCCATAGCTGACTCTGAGGCAGAAGCATCATGATAGAAGAGTCTGGTAGAGAACAGCTGCTCAGGTCACAGCATGCAGAGAGCAGAGAGGGCAGGGAGAAGTCTGGGAGGGAGACAGACCCTTAGGTCACCCGCTCAGTGGCTCATCCCTGCCAATCAGGCCCCGTGTCCTAACCTCACCTGCAGCTTTGGCTTCTTCAGTGGATTAATGCACTGATGAATACAACACCCCCCGTGACCCAGTCCCCTACAGCACCCCGTGGTCCAGTCCCCCACAGCACCCCGTGGTCCAGTCCCCCACAGCACCCCGTGGTCCAGTCCCCCACAGCACCCCGTGACCCAGTCCCCCACAGCACCCCGTGACCCAGTCCCCTACAGCACCCCGTGACCCAGTCCCCCACAGCACCCCGTGGTCCAGTCCCCCACAGCACCCCGTGATCCAATCCCCCACAGCACCCCGTGATCCAATCCCCCTTCAGAGGCCCCAGGCCTGGACATATGAGACTTGGGAAAAACTTCAGCTTTAAATTATAACATCACACTTAAAGGGTGGAGAGAGGTTCGTAGTAAGTTGAGGAAGAATTTGAATGTGTGTATTTTAGCCACTGACATTTGAGGTAATTAATATGTCTCTGTATTCTTTAATGTATATGTTGTCAACATAAGACCTCAGTATCTTGCTAAGGCTAGTCCTGTGTTTTCAAGGAAAATGGGCCTTAAGTATGTGAAGGTATTATTTCTGGACCTTGGTCCTTGATAATAAAATCTGAGGTAAGTAAAACTGAAAATGTCAACACATATTTACATGTGAGTAACCCAGTAATTTTATCCAGTGAAATGCTAATTTTTTCCAGTGAAACCCAGCCAATGAGTTGGTCATTATCCCTTGTTGTTGCTCAATCTTTAGTGTTAATAAAAGTCTGCAGAGAAATTTAGAGATCCTTTATCTGTATACACTGTTTGTAAATGCAAGTAAGACGAGGCTACCTTATGTGGAATTAGCATTGCTGTTAACCAGAAAAACATACAACCTCAATGTCCTGCCTGCAGTGTGCTGTGCTTTACACGACCATTGGTGGCCAAAGAAGACTTCGGATTCACAATCTCGGCTTAAGCTGCAGCTCCCAGTTAGCCGATCTTTATAAGAGCTGTGAGACGGATGCCCTTATCAACTTCTTTGCCAAGTCAGGTAACACTTTGCTAAGCCTGCAGTTTAGTAAACTTCGCTTAAATTCAGTCAAGACTTGTTGGTGAATTGAGTCAGTGTCTGAAAAGTATTGTGGTGCTCTAAAGTCTGTAACTCTAGATTAATAAAGAGAATGACTCAATTCAGGGCCAGACTATACAGATTTATTTAGTTTCTTTCCCAGTGGGGCATTGGAGTTGAAACCTACGAAGGTGCTCCTAAGCCTTTATTGTGGTGTAGGAGTGTGCCTTCTGGCACGTGTGGAAAATGAAAGGAGACTGTCCATGACCTTGGATTGATCTCAACTACCCATACCTTGGTAAAAGTGAAATAGGGTGAGCCCCATAGCAGAATATTTTTGCTTTCTTTCTGAGATTCTACACTAAAATATGGAAGAAGTAGTAGTTCAGCCCCTGGGAATTCAGGATATCAGAAAATGACAAGCTGACTTTTCTTTTCTCTGTGTGTGCAATTCTTTTTCTAATATCGTAAAGATAAACCTTGGCCAGTATAACCTCTTGCTGTAGGTAGGCCATTTTCAGCACTGTCATATTTTATCAATAGTGGAACACTAGCAAATGACTTTAACACTTTCAAGTACTGCTTTTCTGGTAGGGTGGCTTGATTATAATATTAATTTGTTCTTTTTTTCTTACTTGAAGAGATCAGTTTCTAAACTTCTAATGTCCATTTTACTAATGGTTTTGTGCACACAGCCTTTAAAGCAGTTTTACACCAGCCTTTGAAGGTCATCCGGGAAATTTTGGTGAATCAGACTGCCCACATGCTGGCATGCTACCGAAAGAACTGCGCGAGTCCATCTGCTGCAAGCCAGGTGAGCCACGGACAGTACTTGGTGTTGAAGTGCTAGAAGCAGTGTGTTCTTTCAGCATGGAGCTAGCAAGGCTGAAGGTACTGTAGGCACTCAGCTGCTGTCCAGCCAACTGTAGAGCCAAGAAGATTGAGAACACAGCTTTGGGGAAGCTGTGATGTTTTATAGCTGATGTTAAAAACTGGCCTTTACAAAGTGCCTGATCTAAAAACGTGCACACACATTTGGTTGCCAGTCACTGCGTTCTGTATAAACAAAAGTGTGTTGCATGGAAGAAGTGTCAAACAGGATTCTCTTTTGTAAATTGTCACAGATATTGCCTTGTGAAGTGTATATGTTTAGATACATTTTAGCCATGTTAACAATGTTGACATGAGCTGATCGCAGTAATAACGTTTTATTTTGTGAACATAAATATAATATAAATATTGGAAGTCTTCATATTTAAAAGTTATGCGTAGGTATGAAGAGGTTTGAAAGAGTTGTCTCTGGCCATCATCTAGTGATTTGAAATTTCAGAGAATCCTTCCAGTAGCCTCATTTAGATTCCTGTTAAAGAAAGCAAAATCTAACGTCCACATTTATATTCACATTTCTTCTCCTTTCATATTCTTTCCAATATCAATAAAAGTAGATACTACTTTTCATAGTTCTGTATAGAATATCTGAGTATTGAACTTTGATTGAAAGAGAAGATGGTGAACAATCAATGGAAAAAATTTCCAGTCCATTCTTCGTCAAAAATAATTACTGAGAGGACATCTGAAAGTGCACCTAGAAGGAAGCGTTCAGCAGGAAACATAATGCAGATAAATTTGGGGTCCAAATTCATAATCTTGGAAAAGAAAAATAAAAACATTTAATTGGACTTCTCATAAAAGTTCCTTTCTATGCTGTTCAAGGTGATCTGCCTTCAATTCTTTCCTCTCCTGTGTTGATAATTCTATAAGCAAATTTTGACTCTACATGAGTACTGTATTCAGTTGTCTTTATTATTCAGAAAATTTGGGGGCTGGGGATTTAGCTCAGCGGCAAAGCGCCTGCCTGGCAAGCGCAAGGTCGTGAGTTCGGTTCCCGGTACCGGAAAAAAACCAAAAAAAAAAAAAAAAAATTATAAAAAAATTATAAATATTCAGAAAATTTGGTGCTTTAGTAAACTCATATATCAGTACTGTCATGCACTGGGCCTGTTTAAACTGCACAGCCCACCAGCTGCACCTGGAGACCGGGCTGAACAGGGGCCAATCATAAGACTTGGCATCCCCGTTTTATTATTTGCCTTTGAGCTCTGGGAGACATTATTCTGTCTCTGGAGTGTCTCACCCTTCAAAAGGAGTAGTTACATTAGTGTCTTCTCTGCAAGTTTATTTGCTCGTGTTAAAATGACTGGACTCAAAACCCTTAAGTGAAAAACAACTCTTTTGCCTATTTAAGGAAAAAAATAGTAAAATCTATCAGTTCCTTCTGGTTCAAAAGTTAAAAGCATTATCTGTACAACTATGCCATCTGTTCATATGGTTTAAGTCTTCTCAAGGAAAAACATAATGATGGCAAAGTTTTTCTGGATAAGTACAGATTATTCCTGTTTTTATAGTGAAAGCTTTTTCCCCATTAGCACATTGCATGTGTGTCCTTCAACTAATGATATTTTTTTAAATGGTGTAATTTAGATACCATTGTGGAATCTAGAAAATGTAAAGATTACAAAGCAGGTAAAAATAATGACATATTAAAATATCATGAACTGAAAACACAGAATACTTAGAACCAAGCTTTCTTCGGAAAATGCAACTACAAACTCACTTCCTTCCTAGAGTTCCCTTATGGGATATAATCTCTGTGGGGAAATTCCTAAAGAACGACCACTATTTTACCATAAAGCCCACAGTTTCCTTGATCCAAGCAAGGCCATCCAGGAGCTGCGTGCTTTGATTATGTGAGAGTGGACCTCAGCAGAGCTGCCTGGATTGGGGTGCCCGGGTCAAGAGTGGGGAAAACAAGAGGAGGCGCTTAGGGTACACAGTTCAGTGAAGACCACTCTGAGGAGCGTGTGGTAGATCTAGGTTCTGACCTGACTGGGAACAATGGTAAGCCACATTTTAAGCTTCTATAAGGAGGGTTAGTTATTTACATTAACTCTAATAGCTCACAGTTGTGAGCTTAAACATATATTATGTGGGAGTATAGAGACCTCAAGAGGCAAGTCAAATGATTGTAACTACAGAGTAAGAGTTGTTTTGCTGTTGTTGATTACCACTGTCATTTCAAAACACAAAGAATTTTCCAAAATGAATGAAACTGGACATGAATTTGTACATCGCCCTCACTCACACTTTCCTCTCCAAGGATAACTTAATGCTGGAGGAGCCAAGACATTACATGTCTGTAATCTGATCCTTACGGTTCGGCTTATAGTTATCATTGGATGAGAAATTAATCCAGCACTAAATATGTCCAAGTGAAAGTATTTTATATTAGAGAAAAAATTACAATTAGAAGGAACTGTTCTTTTATGAGGAAATGTGTTCACCTACTTTGAAAAATTAGAAATTGAGAAGTAAATTGCAAAGTGGAATATGTTTGATACTTGTTTGCAGACATCAGTTACCAAGTCGTGCCATACATATACTTTATACTTCGATTATGATAAAAGGCCCGTAATGATGATAAATTCTACAGAGCCCTGAAGGAAGTTTTCTTCTCAGTATGGATTCTGCTAAGTGTTCATTCTTTTTCATCGCTGGAAAGTCTAGCTAAGAAGAAATCACACATTTATACACCAGATATTTCAGGAATCTGTTTGCAAGTTATCATTAGATTCTGTGTATATTTGTGAGGATATTTTCTTTTTCATTGACCTGTACTGTTAAAAGGAAGGAGGTGACACTGAAATCTGATTATTAGCTATTCTTCTGACGTGGACTTGACCACAGAGTAAATAACATAGGCTTTTGCCTAGCATGTTTTCAAATGTCGAGTTTCTTTGACAGTGCCTTGTGTTAGATTGTAGTGCGTCACATGGGCTGTGCGTTTAGGCGGTTGAATGAGGATGTGCGAGCCAGAGTGGGAATGGAGAGTGGGACACACGCTTTCCCAACTTAAAAAGTAAATGTTTATGGATAAAAACATAGGGGATCTTTCTCGAGAAAGCGCAAGCATGTGAAACAATATCTTTCTTTTTCAGCTTATTCTCCCAGATTCCATGAAAATATTGCCAGTGTACATGAATTGTTTATTAAAAAACTGTGTGCTGCTCAGTAGACCAGAGATCTCCACGGACGAGCGGGCATACCAGAGGCAGCTGGTCATGACCATGAGCGTGGCTGACTCACAGCTTTTCTTCTATCCGCAGCTTCTGCCAATAGTGAGCATTTCTGAGAGGAGTCCAGAAGGGAGTTCTGTTTTGTCCTTTCCTGCATGTTATAGCTAAACCATTTTTATTAATCGTGTTGGTCCATTTTAGATATACATAATGATCACATCCATCATAGGGAGTTTTGCCTACACATGATGTATCTTTGTTCTTCTTTTTCCCATTCTTCTACTCTCCCTTCAGTCGGTCTTTCCCTCCTTATTTACAAACGCTTTGCTTCCATTTTTTCTTTTCTAATTTTTTCTTTTCCTTTCCTTCCTCAGCCCCCCTTTCCTAGTTCCTCTTTGGATCTGAACATTTCTTTTCCTATTTCACAATATCTGTTATACGTTTTGGTCCTTATTTACACATTTGGTTTCTCATACCGGAGAAACAGTGTTGTATTTACACGTGTGTGTCCAGTTTATTTTACTTAAGAGAATGGTCTCAAGTCCATCCATTTACTTAGAAATGTCTCAAGCTTATCCTGCTTTATTGCTGAGTAGTACACCACTGTATAAAAGAAACACGTCTTTTCTATCCATTCATCAGCTGATGGGTATTTGGGCTTAAACCTTTTGTTCTTAAGAAGAAATTCAGAATGGTAAATGCCTTCAAAATATGCAGCATGGGATTTAGAGCCCAGGCTTCCAGAGCAAGCTGTGTGTGTGCACTAATAGGCAGTCAGTGTGGTGGGGAGGAAATTGGGAGCTCCTTCTTCGATGAACTGTTCGGGTGATTGCTCCTCTTTCCTCTCCCGAATTGGTGCTCTTTAGTTATGTAGACACACTGAGAAGTCTGCACCACCTGGAGCAACTAAGCTTCAGTTGCTGATGAACTGTCCAGCATTGAAGACAACATATGTGTGTGTGGGAACCATCTGCTCACGTGTGTTTACCTATTTATATAGTACAGTAATGCCTTCTGGTCACCACATTTAACCAGATGGGCTATAGTTAGCCTTGCTTCGGTGTAGTCAGGGGTTTCTGTTTAAGGATAGCTACACTGTACAGGAGAACCGACCCCGCCTCCCTCAGACAGCTGATATGCCAGTGTGCGCTACTGTGTTGAGTTGATCCTTGAAGCCTTGAGGGCCCCTGTAATCTGTGGCCAGGCTCTTCCTCCTGGGGACCTGACAGGTTGCAGTGGACGGAAGGGAGTGCGGAAGGCTGTTTGGAAGTATGCAAAACCCTACTCAGGCTCTTAGGAAGGGTGAGACATATGCTAATAGTCTTAAATTAGGTTGGAAATTTAAAAAGTTATCAATTCTTTCAATCAATATGCAAGTTAGAAGTACATTATTACAAATGATTGATTTCAGATAAAATTAGATCACTAACAGTTTGTAGGCCAGAGAAACCAGAACTCTAAAGGATAAGAACATCACTGTTGCACGGAAATTCTGTTGCACGGAAATTCACCAGTGATCACCTCTTACTAAATCCAGTAGGCAGCTGTCAGGCCGCTTCTCTTCTTCATGTACATGTGCTCAAAAGTCTCTGCTCCTTGCTGACCGTCACAGAAGGGATCCTGCACACTGCTCTCTTGAAATACCTTCTCCCTGGCTCCTAGTTTCTCTCCTCCTTCGCTGTCGATGCGGCACGTTCTTCCCCACAGGTCCCCACAGCTCATTTTCTCTCCTCAGGCCTTCACTCAAAGGTTACCTTTCCATCAAGCCTTTCTGGGCTGTCCAGTCAAACATCTCCCACCACTCCCCCCAGCAATACAGTCCATCTCACTTTTCTGTTTCCACCCTTCCGGGCTCTTCTTAATGGGGGTGGGGGTCTTGGTATGTAGTTCAGGCTGGACTTGAGCTCAGTATGTAGCCCAGGCTGGCCTAGGACTCATGGTGATCCTCCTGTCACAGCTTCCTGCATGCTCCTTCATAGCTCATACCATCTACAATTCTATTCCTTCCTCCAGAAAACCGCTAGTTGCACAAGGCACAGAGATTTGTATCTAATGAATACAACAATGCCTGGCACATAGTAAGCACTCATTAAATGTACACTTGAAGGAAAAGAGAGGGTTGAGAAAGGAGGGCAAGGGAAGGACATAGAAAGGAAAGAGGAAGGGAAGAAAGGAGGGCGGGAAGCAGTTTCTGATGCTCTTTGCCCCATAGCACACACTAGATGTGAAGAGCACGACGTTACCTGCTGCTGTGCGTTGCTCCGAGTCTCGCCTTTCAGAAGAAGGTGTGTTCCTCCTGGCCAATGGCCTGAACATGTTCCTGTGGCTGGGCGTAAGCAGCCCACCAGAACTGATCCAAGGAATATTTAATGTGCCGTCCTTTGCACATATCAACACAGACATGGTAAGTGTGTTTTCACTGAATTGTGGTAAATAAATAAATTTCATGGCAGTCATTAATACAAAAAAGAAAATGTATATAGCTCTATATGAGAATAAGAGAAAGTCATATTAAAATTATTTGCATAAAGCATTAGCTAGGGAGCTGGGCATGGTGGCACATGCCTGTAATCCCAGCACTTGGGAGTCTGAGGCAGGAGGATTGTTGCGAGTTCAAGGACAGACTGGACTACAAAGTGAGTTCAAAACCAGCCTGAACTGCATAGTGAGACCCTGTCTCAAAAAGACAGAAAAAAAAAAAAGCGTTAGCCAAAATACCTGACTTGAATAGAAATTGCTGACACTTCCAGATTATTTACTGTATGTCAGTCTCTACACACTAAGTACTAATACACCATTTCATTTCATTCTGAAATGAATTGTGATATGGATATTGCCTCAGTGTTTTACAGATGAACTAGTTAAGGCTCAGGGACAAGTTTCTTGAGGATAGGTGGCAGACGTGGGAAATCTATTTCGATTTTAACCCCAGGACTCATCCTTGGTGCAGACCTGAGTACCCAAAGGAATGGAGAAATCTTTCGTAGGTCATTGGCTTCAGACTAAATAAATTGAGGAACTACAAAAAGATGGTCTCACAAAAACGGGTTATGTTTTTGTTGCAGTCACAGCAGTTGAAAGTGTGAGTTTGATGTGGAAATGAATATAAATGTCTCTTTTTAAAGCATCTTAGGAAAACTCAGCAGTTATAATTGTTGAAGGTCAACTTCTAGGAATCTGTAGTAGGGTTCCCTAAAGCCTTGCTTAGGTTATGGCAGGGAGGCTTTAATTTAGGTGTTGTACCTAATTGCTGGTATGAGCGTATAACCTAAGGACCTACAGCATGTTATAGAAGGAATAGGAATAAATTTTACAGTTCAGTGGTCAGTTTACAAACCTGCATATCATTTATGAATGCAAAAATATATCTGTAAAGGAATTAAGGGTATCTATAGCTCATTAAAAGACTAGTTTTCAAATTAAGAATCTTTGAAACAGTGAGATGTCTGTACCTGGTTGAAATTAAGGAATGATTAGAAATGTAAGTTTTTAAAGATTAACAGATAATATTCAGTAGGCAAAGAACTGAATCTGAGAGAATGTTTATATAAAATTTAAGGAAGCTTCCTTTTATATCATAACATAGTAAATGTTGAATACATATTTGCTGAACTGGACATAGATACAAAGTAGCAGTCTCCTCACCACCAAACAGGAGACCGGCAGGTTTGTGCTTTTATCAAGGCAAACTCTTCTTCACCTTCCTCAAAAAATGAAACAAAATTAAAAACCAAATGTGGGACAGTTTATTATTTGTTGGATGAAAGAATTAACCCTAATATCAAAGGGGACAGAGTGTGACTATGAATACACTGCTTTTCTTAACAGCTCCTGTGAAATAATTGGCTATTGTCTTTTCTAAGACTCGAGTCGTTAGAGAAAGACATTCTAACTCAGCTTGGCATATGCAGCTGGGCTGCTTTGTAAACTAACCAGATTTCAAGGAAATCTAAGCGACCAGTTGCCCTTCACACATAAGCATTGGGTAGTTTGTTTTAATGTTGGAACAGTAGTACTTGGATAGCATTTTTCCAAACGAGGTAATGAATCGGTCTTGAACAGACAGAATGAAGTACATTCTTTTCTCTCACAGTGCAGCCTTGGAACATGCATCTTGAAGGTGGAGTAATCCATCATGGGAAATGGTCCAAAGCCAGCCTTTGTATAAAACATTTACCTGTTGTGTCATTTCAGTGATATGTATGTGTCAAATTTGTGTTTGATACAAAGCTTTGTATTTGCAGAAAACAGATTATTGGTGAGAATGGATGTTAAGAAAAATGAGTAATTTTTAGATCCTTTTTTTCAACATTTTGAGTTCTTAGGTAGATGATCTAAGCCAATAATCTAGATGGTAATAGGTAGATGTTTTTATCATTCTAATAATCTATTGCTACTTCCATCTAAATATTTTAAACTGTACTGAATCTTTCATTTTCTTAAATTTAGACATTGCTGCCTGAGGTGGGAAGTCCACACTCTCACCAACTCAGAATGATAATGAGTATGATCCAGCGAAAGAGGCCATACTCAATGAAGGTAAAAATGAGATTTTGTTGTTCCCTTTCTTCATGCCTTTTATTTACTATTCAATTAAAGACCTTAAAAACGCATATTCCACATTTTCATGTGGTCTACATAGGTGTTTGATACAATAGATGGTGAATGTTTAAATTTAAAAAGTATATTATAGGAAAATACCTGTTGCCATTACGCTCTCTCAGAATGCTGTCCGTTGCTTCACCTCCATCCCATTGTTTGGCCAGTTTTCGAAGCAGTTCAGCACGTCCCCTTTTGTGACTGCTTTCACTGCGGTGTGATGAGCAATGCCGCGGGCGCTGCTGCTCAGCTCAGTGCAGCGCGAGGGCGGGCCGGTGGGAACAGTACCGCGCGGCCCCGCCGCCTCGTCCGGCAGATCTGCGGCGGCTGCTGTGGCAGCCCGTGGTTCCAGGCCCTGTCCCATCTCAGCGCTGCAAGGGTTGATCCTGTTTTCTGGATTACTCCCTCCCCACAGGCTCTTTTCCCTAGCTTTCAAGATTCACTAAAATTGCTGCTACTCTAAAACTGTGCTTTCCTTTCTTTGCATTCGTCCTACAGATATTTATTGAACACCTGCAGCATACCAGCCATTTTACCACCAGGCTTCTTGAAAGACTTGTCTGTGCTGACTGCTTATCTTTAGCAGCACTTACAAGGTTGACTACCTCTTCCTCAAATTATCTCTTCTGTCAGCTTCTAAAACATTTTATGCTCTTGGTTCTTCTTTCTCACTGACCGTTTTTTTTTGCTTTTCTCTGCCCACTGTCCCTTTAAGTGTTAGTGTTTTCCTAGCATTGTGTACGTGGCTTCTTTTCCCACTCAATGTGTTCTCCCTAGGCCACCTGATCACTCATCATTTAAGCTACTCCCTGCGTAGGGCAATGAGATGAGATTGGGTTTTGGAGCACACTGATGTGTTTGTGGTCTCTGGTAACAAGGCCCAAAGAATGTTGCCTTTAGGCCACTTGCACTAGCCAGGACTTCCTTGGAGAGGGTACCTGGCAAGTAGGGAAAGGGACAAGGGATGATCACTTTAACATTCTGTTCCCCCTCTTCAGGACCATGTTCCTCCTTGCAGGAATATAGAGGAGAAAAATAACCACAGACCCCTTGAGGGGATGCCATCGCTTTAAGTATGTCAAGACAGCCCACCACCTACTCCCATGGATCCACTCTCGTGTGACTTTCCACTACTTTCTGTATTGTTCTGGCACAGGTGGTGGGCTGTTCAGCCTCATAGACCCACATGGTAGCTCCAGATATCAGAACGCCATTTTATCTGAAATCTGTTCTCCAGAGCTGAAATTCATTCCTTACTCTCTTTACCACAGTTCAGTGGTAAAATCAGATACGGTTCCTTGGAGGAAATTGTACAATGAACACCATGTGAAAATCAAGTGAAAGGCAGCAGCAGAAAATATCCCACAGGATAAGCAAATATAAGCCTCCTCCCATTAATTCCCACAAAGTAAATTCTAAATAAATCAGAATTTCAGTCCTTCCCTCTGCATTGTATCATTCCGTGCAGTCACTGTCTGAGGCTGGACCACATTGCTGCCGCTTGTGTCTTGAGAAAGACAGTAGCATATCAGAAGTGGATGAACCAAAATATCAAGAGTGTGGCCTTCCTTCAGGTTCCTCAGGATGCGACTCTGAAAGTTCCTCTGGAGAAATTCCCATTAGGGGTCAGTGCCACTTTCCCAGGAGGAGTGGAATCCACTGTGCTCACAGCTATTCTGGTGCCACTCCAGGGCCCAGTATCGAAAGCCCGGACATACAGGGATTGTACCACAGGTTGTAGCATTACACCTCTGCACCTAGCAGTATGTCTTTTTCTCTGACATTGGAAACTTGATCACACAAAGGAAATGAAGACACAGTCAAGACTGAACAGGAGAAAAAGTGGGAATGGAACAGTAAAGGAAAGTATCAAGGCATAATCACATAGAATTAACTTAGTGCAATGGTAGCAGCGGTAGTTGTTATGTTATCACAAGTTTTATCAAGTCAGGAGCACCTTAAAGCTTATCAGCCAAGGATCAATGCCAAAGGAAAAAAGCAAGTGGTGCTGACAGAATTATTCTACTTTATAACTACAATGCATGATGCAAAACCGGGGAGGGCTGAGCCTCCCTTCACAAATCACACATCTCTTCCTTGCTGAGGGGAAGGGGCTGGTAGTTGCAGGTGCTTCCACACGCAGGCCCGTCAGTGACCCTGCGTTTCCATACCAGAAGCAGATGTCATTTCCGCTTGCCATCAGTTGACACAGTTACTGAGTTTTTTCACATTTTCCTTTTCCTGTGAAGTCTTAAATCCATTGTGTGTCTTCCATTTATGATACATCTCTATTCGGAGGAGCCAAGTCTCAGGTGTTTTGCAGCACACATAGCTGTGGCTACACTATGGACAGCACAGTCCTGGAGAATGACAAGCACAGGATTGCTCTGCCTGTGTCGACCTCTGCAGTGCCTGTGAAATCTACGCCCTTCCCACCTCCAGTGTCCTGATGCAGGTCCTGCTTGCGTCCCACCTAGATGCTCCAATGACTTCCTGTCTAGTTCTGTCATTTCACCTACATATTAATACCTACTGCCACCAGTCAGCTGCCTCGTTTCATTCTTCTGCACCTTCACTGTATCATGTTTCCTGCAAAAGCCCAAACTCATGCTTATGTTAACTCATCCTAACTCATCCTTTCACTGCCTTTTAAAAGCCTGTGATAAGGCTAGCTGGGAATATGGCTCAGTAGCAAGGCGTTTGCCTCACATGTGTTAAGCCATGGGTTTGATCCCTAACAATGCAAAACCAACCAACAAATAAAAGCCTGATAGTTTACGTACCTGTCATCTGTATTCCTGGTACACGGTATTCCAATATGGATGCTCTGTAACGCCACCGTATCCTTTAAGGCTTAGGTGACAGTGGCTACCAGTGGGAAGCCTTTCCCAAAGGACTCTGCAAACGTTTCATTTTTGCCACTTAAAACTGTACGCAATGGTTTTGTGGTCTGGGGTCAGTTCCTCTTCCACTGCGGATAGCAGGTCCTTCTGTGTCATCCTCCAAGGCGTCTCACAGGTAATGGGCATCCTATGCTGTTTGGTGACACTGGAACAAAACTGAGTCACACTCAGAAAATCTTTGTAACCAATTGCTGTTGTGTTTTCCTAGCTCACAATAGTAAAGCAGAGAGAACAGCCAGAAATGGTTTTTCGACAGTTCCTGGTAGAAGACAAAGGACTTTATGGAGGATCATCTTACATGGATTTCCTTTGTTGTGTTCACAAGGAAATATCTCAGCTGCTTAACTGAATCATCTCCACTGTCGATGTTGCATTTCTAAGGAGACAATCTCCTTCCTGGTGCCTAATTTTGCCAATGAGAAAAGGTTAATTTTCTTTTCCTGATCATTTTCAGAATAGCTTTCCAAGATGGCATTTAGAACTTCAGCTTTGGTGCTAAGGTATAGAGCCAATGAAGGTACAGTTGTACCTAAAGAGAACAGCCTTTTTCTGACTGCACAATTTTTAATCTCTAAAACTGACTGAGTTTGCATTTCCTGAACAGTATAGTGTCTTAGTCCCTTTCTTTGTTGCTGGGACCAGATACCCAACACCCACCACTTAAAGGAGGGGAGGCTTATTTTACTGTCCACAACCGTGGTCAGCTCCAAGGCCAAAGCAGTATGTGGAGGGGCACAGTGAAGGAAAGCTGCTTAAGTCATGGTGGCCAGGAACTGGAGAGTGAAGCGAAGAGCCGGGGCGAGATACACCCTTCGGATCATGTGCCCAGTGACCCATCTTGTCCAGCCGGCCCACACCTCCTCACAGCAGGCCAGCTCAGAACCCATCAGTCAGAACCCATCAGTGGACCAAACCCCGTGATCTAGTCACCTCCCAAACATGACTTTCCGGGGGCATTTTACATTCAAACCATAATATATACTTTACACTCTCAATGTTTTTTCTTTGTCTTAGACATATAAATTATTTTTCAAACTGTATAGATTTGAGGTACAAAGTTGTCTTGGTTCCACTCCCATTTGCCATGAGGGAGAACACAAATGTTACAGAATACCTGATTTTTAAAACGTATCAATCCATTGAACACATTTTCAGTCTCAAGTTTGCATAGCAAACTTTTGGTAAGCTTGGAATCTGATAGAACAATTTTTGTTCTACTTTGTCTATGTCAAAACTATTTTCCAGTTGTTTGGTCTATAAAATTGTCTTTATCAATATTCATAATAGCTCTTTGTACAATTTTACAGTTTCTACTTGTATATAATGGATCTTAACCAGTATCAATAAATCACTTCATATACACTGTGTAGAACTTTTTCATTTTTATATATTTTAGGATTTTAAAAATAAGGATAGTATTCAAAAGTGGCCAAAAAATTGGATGGATTACAAAAAATCGGGATAGTACAATTTTTTTTTCAAGGTTGGTAAGTGTTAGGTAGTAAATCTAGAAAACAGGAACTTAAATATCTTCTTTCAGGCAAAATAAAGGCAACACAGAACCATTACTGGTGGATGTATGTATACCACTCAGAGTGGTTTTCAGAGCTGTGACACGTGTTGTGTGTCTGCCCCATTCAATTTTATCAACAATATGGATAAATAATAGGAAATGTGTAATGGAGTTCATATCATGTCCCAAGAGCTTTCTTAATGTTCTGTGAACATTTTCGTATTTAGTCCTTACAGCAGAACTAATCCTACCCCATTTACATATGAAGAAACAGCTGGAAGCAATTAAGTACTATGTCTATGATTACTCGGCTAGTAAGGATTATTTATAAATTCATAGATGCCACGAAGTTGGATAAATGCAACCCCCCCCATATTAATCAACTGGCAGGATGCTTCAGGTTGGAGCAGATGAGTTTAATAACAGCCATAAGCACCAAAATTTGTCACTTGTGTCCAAAAAACAAATGTGCATGTAGGAAATGCTTTTTGCAAACAAGAGGTATTAAAGAATTTGTGTTTATTATAATAAGTAGTGGGATGAAAGCAAATGTAAACCTCAAACTACTTTATTTCGACAATAGGAAAAATCCAATAAACAGTGGAAAAGCTTCAGTGAGCCATGAAGTCTGAAAGAGTGCTCCCCAGCCTCAAACCTTGAGAGGCACTAGCGCAGGATGGCTGGGAGCACAGGCTGCAGAACCAACAGTCTTGTGTATCTGCTCCACCACAGACTCTGTGATCCACACAAATCAAAACCACTCGTGTATCCCAGTCTCCTACTCAGCTGTTTCAAGGATGAAGTTAATAAATACAAAGGACTTACACAATTACTGTCTCACAGTATTTAAGCATTCACTGCTGTTATTTCACTAAGGTTTTTAAATTAAACTTGCCAAGGGTTATGAAAACTAGAATTACTGTTTACCGTTGTCATGCGTATCCTGACATCCTCAAAAACATCAAGCTGTTTTTAAATGCTAACAAAGTGTCCGCTAAGCTTCAGAAATCAAACTATACGATGCTTCAGTGTTAAAACCAGAACTTACATACATACATACATATACATATGTATGTATAGTTGATGATCCATTATGAAAAAAGAAAGTTCACTGAGAAAGGCACATTTTTGAGTCTACTAAATGGTATGACCTTTACTTTCCCCAGAAATTTAACTTAATGACAGCAGACAGAATAATTAAGAATTGCCTATTAACTTTTTATGTTTATCCAGATGGGAAAATGTTTTTCTACCAACATAAGAGCAAAGATCAAATTGTAGATTGATATTTTTGACCATAGAAAGGTGAAGTGAAACTGAATTGGAGTGTCTAACCCTTCCAGAAAGGTCAGTCAGTAAACGTCCAGAAGAGCAACTGTCTGGGGGATAAGGTTTGTTTTGAATTATACAGATTTTAATTGCTGAAAACACAGAAATGGAATATCGACCAGCATGGACAAGAAGAGAAACAGAATTCTTTTATCTTCATCTCTTTGCTTGTTTCCTGGCATCGTCTGAGAAAGTGAGGAGAAAGATTCTCCTTTCCCTAGCAGACACTTACAAGCAATCCTGTTAGAAAATTTTATTTAGCAGGCTTTTTTCTTTGAAAATTCTCCTTCCAGTGGGTGCAAGTGCTCTATGTTTTGTGGCCAAAAATGAATTCCTTCTTCACTTGACAGTAGTTTTCAGGTAGTTCAAAGGTATCACATGTATGTCCCTATTATGTCTTATCCAGGCTAAACTCTCCCACTTCCCAAAATACAGCATCATACACATGATTTCCAGAGTTACTGTCATCCAAACATGAAAATCCAGTTTTAACAACACAAACAAAGTCAGTTTGGGCAGGCAGTATTACCAGCCTCCAGGTAAAGAAACTACAGTAATGATTGCAGATACAGTTTCACTAATGTATGAGTTGCATAAGAATTAAGCTATGCTTTTTACATATATTTTTAAATTGTTACTAGTTATAAAAATAAACTCTTGCAACAAAAATTTGTAACTTTAAGACCTTTTATACAAGCCCAGTATTTGTCAGGCTGAGCTGTTCCCTAGGTCCATAAAAAACTGTTAAATATATATCATCCATATCTGAAGAACAGTTTTATGCTATCCCATGGGGACAGCGAAAAGATTAATATTTAGATTAATAGATAGCATTTAGATTTATGTTTCCTGATCAATACTTCAGGATCTAATATGCCTACGTGGCATAAAGGTTATTACATTTATGAATTGGGCAAGATTTAAGCAGCATATGAATTCTAACAGTAAATTAGTGTGCAAAAGATAGTCTCGTTCTAATAAAAAAAAGTCATGTTTTTATAATAAACCTAACTGCATGTGCACCTCTAGCCACAGGGAAGCTTTACTACCTTTGTCCAAACTTAGTCAAAGTTCTCTACTCTCACTATACTTGGGGGAAAGAAATGTAAGCTATAAAACTGAGCCTGTACTTACCATGCTATCAGCCTTGCTACTTAGACGAGGCCAAAGACTCTACCTATGTAACTAACCTAAATTATGGTCAATATTATATCACAATCTTATTTTTTACCAAGTATTAAAGACAACCCAGAAGTTGTTTTGAAACGCATAAGCCTATAAAATAACAACCAATATCACAAGACATTTACACAATTACCTGCATTATTTAACCACCACTACAAGCTTCTAATATATCTCAAAAAATTATTTTGACTTTTTGTCCTCTGCTTTTAAAAAGATAAAACATATATATAAAAGCAACATGATGAGGTCATTCTCGTATGATACTAACAATTGTAAATTACGAATTTGTACAAGTATAGGATTGTCTTAAGAGGTGTTTTATGACAGTTTGGCCTAAATGTCTGCATTTTCTCCCATTGAGCAGATGGGTGGCTTGCAGTCCTCACAACTACATAGGCAACTTTAAATTATCACCCATGTCTGCAATCTTATTGGTGTTTGTTCCAAAGTAAACCAACTATATAGTGTAGTTTCAAAATGAAATGATTCCTTGTTCCAAGAGAGTAACTTTTTTTCCTCTTCTTTTAGTAAATTTGGTCACATAGTATTTACAGGACAGAAATTAAAATATGCATGCAGTGTTTAGGTAGTCTAATTTTAAAACATTTTAGCTCCTGAAAGGGTAAGCAAAGGCTGCAAACTAATTATCAACCTCTTAAAAATTAGGAAGATTTCACATGAACATCACATGACTCTTTTCCCTCTGTACTGACAATTAGCTGGGGTTCACAAGTGATGCCCAGCTTACCCAGGGGACAGGCTTTCAAATTTTCACCCTCACTATAGGCTCCCCACCTCGGAGGCCAAAGTCATTGGCTATGTACAAAGGTACTCTTTCACTACTCTTGCTTTTCTTAACATGAGAAAACCAAAGTTAAAAAAACAGAAGAGATAGATAAATGGCAGCTAGTAAATTCTCCCATGCTTAATATGCAAATGTGTCTACAAAAGACAACTACTCTGGAATAAAACAAATTCCTGGCCCACTTCATGTACTAACAGTAATTCTAGTTACAGAAAACAAGACTCAAATTTCAAAGGTTTAAAGTTTCATTAGAAAATTGTAAAAAATAAAGCATTTGTCAAGAATAATAGTATAATTTCATCAAATTCATTTAAACGTAAGTTACAATATAGGAAGAGAAATAACAGCATGAAGTAATATACAACTAACTGGTCTGCACAACCAGCCCCTTAAAAACAAGTATCACACCATATGGTTTTAGTAAAAAGGAACTTCAGTTCCATTTTCCAAGTTACATTCTTCAGTTGAAGGTTTTCTGTATTGCTTTTACATGAAATTTTTTCAATATCAAGGTTTATGTCATCCCTCATCACCAAGTATTTATTCCCCCAAATGTTTATGGCAAACCCAGTAGAGACCAGGCGTCTCTATTAATGCTTCCATTACTTTTACTTTGTTGGAGTATGAGACTGCTCTGAAGGTCAGTGAAGTTCAAATCTACACCAGAGACCTAATACTGGGATATTTGTCCTCATTTGCTTCTTGAGAGGCATGATTAAGTGTCATTTTAGCTACACAAAATTAAAATTTATTTTTAAAAAAATTTTAAAGGAAAAAAGACCCCTGAAGTCTACTTTTTTTTATCATTTCAGCAAGCAACTGGTAAAACCCTGACACAAGCTGACCATCTGTCCAACTCCAGTCTATCAGGTCTCCCAAACAGTTTCCCCTTTACTGTGACAGCAGTGGCAGGATGTGCCTTATACTGTCAGCACTAGGATGATAACCACAGATCAAGTCATCTGTGTTCAACTATTTCTAAAGAGTAAAAGCCTTTGCAATGAGTTGGAATTAGAGTAAACGCGGTCCCTGAAGGTGAAGCTACTTGCGTTATTCAATTCTGGCCAGGCAGATGCACATGACAACAGCAAGATCACTCATTTATCCTACACCAAATCAGAAACGGTGTGTGTGACAACTGCAAGAGAAGGGGCACAGCTGCTCCTGGTAGCTTAGAGAAACTATACCTAAGCGCAAGCTGGAATGAAGTCCTAAAATCTCCCACAATGAAAAGGGGCAGAGGGGCCTACAAGGAGGATCAATGTGTAAAAGTTATCGAGGTGGAAAGCCCCCTCTGTGTGCTCCTCCACGGCCCCCTCTAAAGCCACCTCTTTCTCCTCGGAAGTTGGATCTATTTCTTTCTCGACCACGGCCAGTGGAAGTTCCCCCTCTCCCTCCGCCTCTGGGAGCTCCACCACCCCGGTCAGATTTAGATTTGGGTGGAGGCGACTTGGGTCGAAGTCTCTCAATTTCCTCTGTACATCCAGTCAGGTAGGAATTTGGGGCGCTGAAATAGGATGCATACGTTTCTGCATTGTAGTTGCTGTTTGTTAGCGTTGGTCCAACTGTAAGCCAGCCTAAAATTTAAACACAAAATCTGTTTTTATTTGTATTCTTTCTCATTGACCGTCTAGGGACGAATTCAAAAGCCCTGTGCATTTTAAAGACGCTCCCAGCACTCATCATGCATAGCACTTAACCACAGTCATGTTTTAAAGACTGTGTTTTATGTATCTTGTTTCTCTTAGATCATAACTTTTATAATATGTTCTCATTTTCCATTTATGTTCTACATTCTGTGATAACAGCACTTGGAAAAAACAGTGTATACTACACAGAATTTGGGCTGTTGACAATTTAAAAAGTTACAGATAACCATCCTATTTAATGCTTGGAATTCAAATCTTGAAAGCAATTATTGCTTTACTCTTCCCAACCACAAATATTTTCAGCTCCAACTCCAAGCTCTAGTTGACAGGCCCTAGAACTCCCAAGTCATGTTCCTATTCTTTTCTACCTTTCCGTGGGCAAATGACTGGAACAGACATTTCACAAAAGAGGATACACAAATAATCAAGTACATGAAAAATGCTTGATATCACTAATCGTCAGGAAAATGCAAATAAAAGCCACAGTGAGATACCATCTCACCACAGAGTGGTTATCACCAAAAGGACAAAAAAAAAAGCTCCATGAGGACAAGAAGGGAGAACTGTCATGTATTGCTGGGGGGAATATCAGTAAATATAGCTATTATGTAAAATTATACGGAGACCCCTTAAAAAACAACTCCATATGATCCAGCCATCCCACTATGAAGCATATATCCAAGAGAAATGAAGTCAGTGAGTAAAGAGACACTTGCCTTTGCATGTTTATTGCAGTACTGTTCACAACAGGCAAGATAAAGAATCCATCTAGGGGTCTATGATGGATGGATAAAGAAAATGTAGTACACATACATAATTCTTATTCAGCCATGAAAAAGAATAAACCTCTGTCATTGGTAGCAACATGGAACAGAACTGGAGGACATTATAAAAGCTGATCTAAAAGAAGTAGAGAACAGAATAGTGGTGAGTGCTAGGCAGGGTACAGAGAGAGAAAGATGGAGAACGGATGGCTAACAGGTACAGGAGCACAGGGGAATAGGAAAAGTAACTTGTGATGTTCTGTCGTGCTGTACAGCACAGTAAGCTAACGATGGCTGGCAATAATTGCTTGAATATCTCAAAATGGCTACTACCGAGAACTGTGAATGTTTCCAATACAAAGAAATAAAATATGTCTGATGTGATACACCAGTTACCCTGATCTGATCATTACATATTGTACATATTTACTGAAGTATCACACTGTACTATATAAATGCTACAATTACTTTGTCAAAATAAAAATATATTTTAAAAATAAATAGAGTCGTGTATGGTGATATACACCTGCAATCCCAGCACTAGGGAGGTTGAGGCAGGAGGATCATTTCAAGTTCAAGGCAAGCTTGAACTACATAGCTAAACCCTGTCTCAAAAAAAAGACGAATCAATCGATCAATCCCAGAGGATTTTTAGGGCTGTAAAACTATCCAGTATGATATTACAGTGGTGGATACATGTCTCTATACATTTGTCCAAACATACACACTTCATACAGCACTAAGGTGGCATCAATGTAAACTACTGACAGGGTAATTATGGTGTCTCCATACAGATTAGCCAACTATAACAAATACATCACTACGGGGGAATAATGTCAGTGGGGAAGTGACGCATATGTGGGGGCAGGGAATACAGACGAAATCTCTGTATCTTTCCCTGAATTTTGCTGTAAACCTACAACTGCTCATATATGATTTATAGCAAGAAGAGAAATCAAATATGTACGAATTTTATTTTACATGTATGAATTTTATTTTAGAACTATGTCCTATTCTTCACATCCAAATCACAAGGAATCATGAAGTTGACTACTTTTCTCTTTTTTTTGAGACAAGGTCTCACTATGTAGTTCAGGCTGGCCCTTAACTTATATAGCCTAGACTGGCCTCAATGGCGACCGCCTCATGGCGGTCCTCCTGCCTCAATCTCCTGAGTGCTAGGATACAAGCATGCCCCAGCACACCTGACCTGAAGTTGACTTTTAAACTGACTTTTTAAAAAAAATTGCAGTCCTACCTGGTCGAATTGTACTATCTCTTCCAAATAGATGAAGACGTCTTCTTCCAAGACAAAAATGCTCAATTATATGAAAAATTTCTACAGGTTTTTCTATATTTCCAATTTCAGGTTCTTCTGTGATAATTAAGTCAATATCAACATTAGCATGAATAAAGTCCCCATCTGTGCTACGCTTCACAGTTCCTTTGATCCCCATAAGGCAATGTTCCTAAACAGTAAGAGAAGACACATTAGTCTCTTTTCACCAGTTATCACATTCCTAACATTTTACATTTCTGATGTCCTCATTCCACAACAGTCTTCATCTCTCTGCACCTACGGTCAAAAGCAAGAAAGGAAAGCCTGGATCTCTAGATGTGGGAAAACTGCAAGGTCGACAGGAAAAAACTTGTTCCCTTCTGTACTCTCCCTCATAATATCTAATACCTCCAGAATCCTTCACTCCTGACACAGATGTGTGCCATGTTTTGTTTTTCCTACACCAAGCCATCTTCCAGTTCTCTGCAGACACCATCTACTTCATTAGCACAGACACCCCAACCCCGCTCCCTGTACGTTAAAGGCTCAGTCCCATCAGACTGAGCCCTGACTTCAAATATCAGTCAGGTCCAAGTTTTCAACTGTGCTTCTGATCAACAGGCTACCTAGTCAATTAGAGGTTCAAATGATTCTCTCCGGGTTGATCGTAAATCAGAGTGGCTCATGGAATTTAGGCTGGTATTACAAAAGGATATAACCCAGGAACAGCTGGATAGGAAAGATGCACATTTTAAGGTATGGGGCAAGAGGGACAGAGCTTCCAGCCCTCTCTGGGTGTGCCACCTTCCCAGCAAGCCCACAGCTTCACACCTAGAAGCTAGGCTTCTCACACCGTCCTTATGTGGGTGTGATTCCAGCCAAGAAAGACTTAGTAAGGACAACCCTCCCTGCAGTGGCTCCTTAAGGAGCAAAGAACAAAAACCACTGAAGCCTGACTCGCGTAAGTGTCATATAAAACCAAAGTTCTCAGGGGTTCTTGTGTAGAAAAAAGGAAAGAGAAATGAGAAATGTCTCTGAGCTGGCCAGCTATGGGTCTTATTTCTTGCTTAGCTTAGAGAAATATTCCAGAAGTCAGGGGTATTATAAACCCATACCCAACCTAGACACAGGGCAGCTTGGAACAAAGAGGAGTATATACTCCACTCCTCAGCACAGTGGGAGCTGATCCAAGGCAGTGAACAAAAAAATTTTAAAATTAACTTGGGTATATTCCTGTAATGCTCAATGCTATTTAGTTAAGTCTTAAAAAGGACTTTTCCACCACAATTCAACCACATTTAGTGACTTAGAAAATCTTGAGAGAAAAAAATGAGAAGAAAGAAAACAAATAAGGGCAATACCTTTGTTCTCTGGAAAACAGCCTTTGGATCTAAAGTCTTGGTTTTCCCAGGATTGTTTTTATTGGTTTTAATCCAACAAATATCTTCACATCTTCTGTAACCCCATTTTCGTAAACACTGGAAATAAATGAAAGAATAGACATCTTAAAGAAATAATATTTAAAACAACCAACTGACATCAAAAAAACTTTCTAGGACACTAAATTCCAGAGTGTTATGGTAATTTTACTTTAGTGCAGAAACAGAAGTAAAGTAGTATCAGTCTTTAAGAATACAGCCAAAATACAGAATGTGTAATGTTCTAAACATTAATATAACAATACTGTTGAAGATAAAACATTGAAGAATTACAACATACACCAAGTCTTTAATACAAAGTAGACATTCCTAATCAGAAAATGTGAAATGCTTCAAAATCTAAATTGTTTTGAGTATCAACAGAATGCTCAAAAAATTTCAAATGTTAGAGGATTTCAGAGCTTGAATTTTTTTTTTTTTTTTGGTACCGGGAATCCAACTCATGACCTTATGCTTGCCAGGCAGGTGCTGTGCCACTGAGCTATATCTCCCCAGCCCTAGAGTTTGAATTTTTGGATTGAAGTCTAAGCAACTATTTCAAAATCCAAAAAACTACCAAATCTGAAACACTTCTGATCTGAAGCACTTTAGACAGGGTTATTCAACCGTTACTACCTTCTACTGTCAGCAACAATGATGGGTTTTAAATGATAATACTCAGATCCTATATAATTAAAAGATAATTCAAAAAGTAATTTGATTCCTGTCCCTCAATTTGTATCCTCTGACAAAGCTAAAAACTGTGAAAGCCTTTCTAATTGATAATTCTCTTCAGATTAGAGTCCAATAAAACTTTATTTGTTCTCAACAACTACTAAAATTCATACTTGAATCATTCTATCATCTATCTATCTATCTATCTATCTATATCTTTATGGGGTAAAACTGTATTTTTATCTTTATAAAATCTTGAAAATAGAGATATGAGCCCCAGTATCCTAGAATCTATTATTTATGAATATTTAACAAACACTAGCTAAAAAGCCATTCAGGATGGCATTTTGAGCACCTACCACATGTTGGTCTGAATAAAAACATGAATAAGATACAGTCCCTGCCCAAAGTTAACTGAAAAGTAGGGGAAGATGAGAAAATTGTGTAAAATATTGTTGGCATTATGATCAATTACGCATAAAAATACAATGGAATATAAACCATTTTCCAGAAAGGTTCCTACTATGTAAGGTGAGAACACACCTGAAAATGAAACTGAAGTTTTATTTTAAAATTTGAAAAGATCAACATTATCATAGCAACACTCCCTAACCTACAGAAGATACATTCCAGGACTCCTGGTGAATGCCTGAGACCACCAATTGTACTGAATCATATACATACTGTTTACTTTCCTATACAGGTATACCAATGATAAAGCTTCATTTATAAATCAGACACAGTAAAAGATTAACAAGAAAAATAAAATACTATCACAACAATATACTGTAATACAAATTATGTGGGTGTAGTCTGTCTGTTTTTCTCCTGTGTGCACACACACACACCCAGACTGCTGCTAAGTGAGTAATGGGCAAGTAGCAACTACAGCATATGCTGAAAGGGATGAGTCAATGTGCCAGAGCAGCCAAGATTTCATCCTGCTACTTAGAATGATATGTAATTAAGAACATGAATTATTTCTGGAATTTTCCATTTAATATTTCCTACTACAGTTGACGGTGGGTGATTAAAACCACAGAAAATGACACTAGGGGGCACAACTACAGGTTCCTGTTGCCAAGTGTTTGTTTTGTTCTGGGAAGTCACAAACAGACCAATGGCCTAACTCTTATGTACTGTATTTATTAATCGGTAGAAACTCATGAGTATTTCTCAGGATGAATTATTTTTGTAATCATTCTTATCAAACTATAAACCCTCCTAAGCACTTTCAACTTAACTTGAGAGGTTAAAAGTCAAGACTAAAGCCCTTACATTAGAGTTAAAAAGGTAAACACCAATATGCTTATAAAGACATACTGTATATTTTTCTTTTCCATAGTATTTTGGAAGAACAACCATCAACATTTTTTTGTAAGAAAAAAATTATGGCAATATTCAATTGGAATACAGTTATAGTCTTACCTTGGGATTAACAAATGACAGAAGTAATGATGTTAAGAACAGTTTCAAACTCACTATGTAATGAATATAATTATAAAATTTCAATATTTAAGCACAAATTATTCTCATTTTCCACTATCTCATATAATCCTCCTTAAAAATTTTTTACCTGTCAAATGGGCTCTCCCCCTCGGGCGGGGAGCGCCAGTCTTCCTGGCTGGCTAGCTTCCTGCCTGCTGGCTCCCTGAGGGTGGGCCCCTAGCGCACGGGGAGCCTCGAGCGGGGAGCGTCAGTCTTTGGACCGACGACTCACTCCCGGCCTCAGGGTTTCCCGGAAGGAGGGCTTCCGG